ATATATATATATATATATATATATATATATATATATATATATATATAGATAGATAGATAGATAGATAGATATATAACATTTAATCCCGTCTATCTAGCGCTTAATCTCTGGACTCTCGCTTTAATGAGCACATTAAACGTAGACTCGATGTCTGCTGTGTTTACACTGCACGGCTGTGACTTCGCAGGAGGAATAACTCGGCAGCTCTCTGTTATTATTAAGTAGATCGCAGCTCAGTCACGTCAGTAGATCTGATTCAGCACCACAGACGCAGCCAGCCGTGCAGTTTACCGGTGTTATTATTAAATATAATACATGTTTTCACACCTACGTCTCCGTTAGCATCAAAGAGGCTTGTTTTGTTCTTACCTAAGTAGTTGGTCCTGATGGTGTTAGGCTCGTTGTATCCAATTAAACGTTGATTTACATCCCAAACCAGGTTTCTAGACCAGGACATTGTGACCATATGTGGGTTTGAATTAACAATAACATTGAAACCAAGCTAACCCGTTCCTGTTGATGTCGCCGTTTATTTATCGTCGATTGGTCGTGCCATGGATATCAGCCCCTGTGCGTCGGGATCACGTTAGCTGGTTACGACACTCAGCGTCTGCATCTCTGGAGGTAAAACACTCGCTGCTGTCCGGTCTCCGCGGTCCTCATTACTTTACATTGACTGTACTCCTGCTGCCTGCGCTGCTAACTATTGGTCCTGCTAGCCTAGCCTGGTTTATTTCTTCTAGCAGGCAGCGGTCAGCTGTGTCCAAACATCGCGATAGACTACGTGATTTTGACAGAGAGGGTGGGAGCACTCGCTTAATTGAGCCGGAGAGCAGGCGGGATAAGTGTGTCCGGGAACAGCTCGGGAAGTAATGCAGGAAACCTTTTCTTCACCATTTTTTAAGTGGTGGAAGTATTTAAATATTTTACTTAAATAATAAAATAAATAAAAGTGGCAATACCATAGTGGACGTAAAAGTTTCTGTGCAGCAAGTTTTATTCATTTTATAAAATTATTTAAAATAAATTAGAATACCTGGCCCTATTGCAGTGTGGTAATTTGATTCAACACATTAATTAAACATATGCAACGTAAGAACACACATGTACAAATTAGATATTTTTCCCCAGGCACCCTTTTTGGGCAAGCAGGTAATAAACCAGAACCCATCTCATTTAAGTCCTTTATTGGTGCATATTTCCAAAATAATACTAGTGTTGTATACTTCCAAATACAAACTAGTTATTACAGTAAGACAGTACTGACTGGAGCTATCAGGGCCTCTGGAGTTCTCTGGGCACAAAACGATCTATGTAGTAGTTTAGCTCTTGAATCTTACATCTTGTCTTTAACATAAGTAAATGCTGGGTTAAGGAAGGAGGGGGGCCGGTTCAGAAGAGGAGTGATTGACCAGGCCAGCGGGTCAAAGGCCAGGAGGGGCTTATTGGATTTCAGCCAATCACTGAGCTGATACGGGACATCTCAGAGACACTAGGAAGACAGAAGGATCCTCAGCGGGACATCGGCCAGACACTAGTCTGCCGGGTGGCCCGGATTGGGCCTCAATTTCATGAAATATTATGTTACTAATGGTGTAATTCGGTTTGCAACTGTTTTCGCTTTTGTTAAGTAATTAAATGCCAGTTCATTTTAACTTGAACCAGTTTTGATTCGAAGACGGAGGACCAGCTTCTTTCCTTTGTTCTGAACCTAACAGCCTCGGGGCCCCTAACAGGTTAATCAGGCTCTGAGGACTCTGGAGAAGTTGAAGACAGCAGTATGTTGTCAAATAGCCTGCTTAGTTTTCTTCAAACTTTGAATGAAAGGGGCGATTTATCTGTACGCGCAGGATGGATTATGACCAAGAGGGCATTAAAGCAGCATACACCTTCATCCTCGCTTGGCCATCCTTCACTCATTCATATGGGCGCATCTGAAAAGGCTCACTCAAAATTCCTCACCTTCCTTCATGGTTCAAAACATTCAGTGACTATTCTTACTGTGTTCATACCGTGACTATACTTTTTAGTTTAATACATTCAATGATTATGCTTTTATGGTTTAACACTTCTATAAGTAAATATATTGTAAGCATACAATACATTCCATAAGTAAATATATTGTGAAATTTAATATAATGTTCAAGGTGTGCTTTTAATCATACTAAAAATGCTTTTAAACTTAAATTCCTCACAAGGCAAAACAATGTCTGTTGGGCTGTTATGAAATCGAAGCTGCCTTTCAAATTGCATACTTACTCGTCACATAATTACTTTTACTACGTTCTGCAGCCACCCTTACAAAGTACATATACTGTTGCATGCAGTATGTGTGTAATTGGTATATACTACATCCCATAAAATTGCACCTTTCTCCTCTCACATCTGACATGCAGAGGATTGTGTGTCATGCAGAACATCCTGGTAATTTTGGTATACTGCATTTAACGTATTGGGACATACTGAATCTTTTTCTGGCACACTAAATATGGTAGTATTTGTATTGGAATGCACTGCTAGATTTTGCAAGACCTTCGATACTTTAGGAGGTCTTGAGGGCCATTGAAGGCTTTGCTCTGCTCCAATATTTCTGCACCTAGTTTCTCTGTAAATGTTTAATCATCCTCGCATGGTGCGAATCAATTTGATTCAACAAAGATTGGGAGTCCTCGTAATGATATGTTGTCTTTGCTTCTCTTGTGATCTTGTTGAATGCAAAAAAATATATAAAAGTATTATTATATAGGGGGAAAAAATGTAATAAAAATAATTCAACTATTCAAAGTGTCAAACTATTTAAATGGAAGTTACAATCAAATCATATCAGTGAAAACACAACAGAAAAGAACACAAACAGCAACAGAGACAAAATAAATATAATAAAAAGATGAATGCAGATTACATTATAGTTGTTTCAAGAATACTGTTGCAACATTTACTTGTAATACAAAACATTAACAACGACATTCAATCAAGTCAAATTTTTGGATCTTTACATTCTATCCTATGCATCTTTAACAACAGCTCTAACTTGTGTTTATAATGTAAACAAATCTTTTCTTTTTTTGTTTCTCATTAAAGTAAACTGTTAGAGCAGTGAATCGTTTCCATTCAACGGGATACGCCGGGTAGGAAAGGTAGCTCTCCTTTCTAAACCAATCATATCTGGGCTCTGACCGGGCGAACCAATCAGGATATGTGACTTTTGTAACCCCGCCCATCACGCGGTAGGTTGCAAAGTACAGAAAGTCACCTCCTTGTCTTGTGGGTCAGTCAGAAGCTACTGAGAAGCTAGCAGAGCTAGCATGGTCACAGTGGTTCAGAGGGAAGGTCGATGGTAGGACGGCAGCATCTTCACAGATAGTTTAACCCACCTGTCATTTATTTATTTGACAACCTCGTGCAAATACACGAAGGCGAACGTTTTTTAAAAAAAAAAGTATTTAGCTTGCTAACCATTTTAGCGAGCTAGCTTGAAGTTCCGCTTAGCGTCTTCACCTCCATCGGGACATCTAACGTTACAGCCATGGCTGCGTTGAGAGTGTCCTATCACAGGATCCTGGACAAGATCGAGCACATGCTGCCCAGCAAACTGAGACCTCTATACAACCACCCGGCAGGTAATGTGGAGTTTATTATCTGGGTCTGTGCGTGTGTGTGTGCGTGTGTGTGATGTCTCTGATGATTAATCCAGCTGTTTGGCGGAAACACTCTCACGGAGAGGATCAAACAGCAGCTCCTGTCCGTTATTGTTCTGGGAGACACTAATCTGCTGGAATAACACCAGCGAAGAAGAGTTTATGACAGGGAAAGTGTGTGAAGTTGGCTCCTAAAACCAATATGTTTATTGAGGTATTAACTTCTAAAGTATTGCCATAAAGAAAAAGGATCAAAATGTACTGTAATTTCAGCCACTCCTTAACCAGCACAGTTGTTAGTGTCATCATATCAACAGTTAAATCAGATATTGTTATCACACTGATAATGGTACTATTAACTATATTTGGGTAATATAAGATGAGCGTTTATTGACCCCCTAGAGGCGAAATTCGGCTTTGCAGCAGCACAAGGACAGAACAGGTACAGATAAATAGATAAAGTAAAGTAAATAAAAAGGGCACATGAAACTAAAATAGTTTTTTTTTTAGAATAGAAATGAATGAAGCCTCTATGCAAGAGTGATTTAAAGACTATATTACGGTTAAGTTACAGTGGTGTGATTTAGTGTATCTCTGTTTATCACGTTTTAACTGATTAAAACATATTATATTATACATTTTATAATAAACTTATTGTTTAAGCTCTAATCATGATTTTTAGCAAACCCTGGTATGTCTAAATCTTGTGATACAATGACAAACATTGAAGTAAACTGTAGTTTAAAGGTAGGACTACACCTAGCTCCGACTAATGCAATGTAATACAACAGCCCTCTCATAAATGTCACCTTCACGAAGGTATATTTTGTCAACCCACTTTCTATGAGGGCACAGGTCAGACACATTCACTAGTAAAACACAATACAACAGCGCCACAAATGACGACACCAAAATACCAAAAAACAACCAAAACAGAACACTATAACCTTCATGAAGGTGGGATTCACTGCATTAGACTGCGTTATGTTTACAATATGTAATTAACTTCATGTATTATTCTTATTCTGCGAGTACAACACACACACACACACACAGTCGGCTCTCTTTGACACCGATCTTAACTAGAGCGTACTGAGATTAAGGAGTTGCTGGCGTCTCTGGGGGCCGTCTGCTCTTTGTTTTGTCTGTAATGGTAGAATGGAGCTCTGGTTGTCAAGAACAACTTCTTGAACAGGTATGAAGGGGGCGGAGACTAAAGCCGCCTCCCTCAGCGATGATTGGCAGTGACAGAAGTCCTACTTTTTTTGTTTCGCCTGCAACATGGTGCAGGATTTGTGATGAAAACAGATTCCAGACCAGCAGCTTTTTAATGGCCCTGTGCACTTTTCTTTGCCGTCACGAATTCAGTTTATGAGTCTTCTCCCATCAGCTCAATGTCCAAATATCTGTCGCACAGAAACTCAGGCTCGACTGTCCGGGTATTCTTTTCACCAATAAGGAAATCCCGGTAGGAAGATTATTAATCTTAGGACGAAAACCTCAAACCCTGTTTTGTGGTGTCGATTGGTAAAAGTGACTTGAACTGCAACATGTCATATTTTTCTTGTTGTGACCTCGTGTTGTTGATGATCCGTGGTATGGCAGCCTGCTGATGATGTGATATTGTTATTGCTTTACAACATTTAGTTGTCCTAAAGCCAACACTGCCTTACGTTTATTGTGGTGTTAAGTTCAGACTTTGAGAGGAGTTCAAAGGTTTGGCCACAACAATAAAAAATATGTAAAAAAACAATAGAAATTTGAGCCAAGCCGTTCCGATACGATGTGTCATGTGGTATTTCTAAATAGTAAAGATGCTCATGATGCGTCTTCAAATCTCTTTTCCTTATTGACAAAATCAGTTGATGATTTTACATGTGATTCTTTTATTTATTTATCAATATTAGAAACATATTCTTATATGAGGACAATACATTTGAGACCAGCAGCTGTTTGTTTCTTCACATTTTTCTTCCTGTTGTTGTAAAGCAAACTATACAGAGCTCATTAACTGTATTTGAGTCTGCTTCCAGAAACCATGAAATTACCCTAAATACTGTAATATCCACCGTTATAAACATAACTGTCAAATGTCATGTTTTCCTTTTCTTTTGTTTTTATTTCAGGTCCAAAAACAGTTTTCTTCTGGGCCCCGGTGTTTAAATGGGTAAGTGTATGTTATACAGTGGAAACAAAGCTTATATCTGTGCACGGTGGCCCGAGCCCGAAGATGTAATAATATCCCGTAATTCACAAGAAAAGAAAACCTAATTTACTGTGCTGCTACTGGTCTCATGAGGTCTTTGGTGGTCCCAACGCTGAGGCTGGTAACCTTTGCCATAGACTCACAGGGCCTAACCTCACACCATCGTGTCACTGTTATTAATTCACAATGATCTGTCAACATGCAGTAAATTAATACAGTTCAAAAAACAAACATCTCTTCACCTCTACAGGGTCTGGTTGGAGCTGGTTTGGCTGATATGACTCGACCAGCAGACAAACTCAGTACCTCCCAGTCTGCAGTGCTGACGGCCACCGGTAAGATTAAAGAGATTTAAATACATGATATCTCCAAAGAGGAGACTTTACCATCATACCTCTGATGGCCTCTGTTCATTTATCTCTGCCTTCAGATATTGATGCACATTTACAAATAATCAGCTTATCAGTTCAGACTGCATTTGACCAGTCTGTGCTAAAGGTTGTCTGATGCATCTGCTTTTGCACTATGTTCCTTCAAACAAATCTTATCTGTTGCTCTCTTGCCAAAACAGACTGTGGTCTCACGAGCATAACCTTCACACTTCCTGTTGTCCTTCTTCCACCAGGCCTGATCTGGTCCAGATACTCGCTGGTCATAATCCCCAAAAACTGGAACCTGTTTTTGGTCAACTTCTTCCTCGGCAGCGCTGGAGCCTCCCAGCTCTACAGGATCTGGAGGTTTGTGTGTTTATTGGGGTTAATTCACAGCATATATATGACCTTTTATTATCTCGGTTAGAACCATTCAAATGATCCATTATAATAAGTCAGTGACGAGTGTATGTGTTCCTCGCTCATCGCTGATCGGATATCATGGCGACGAGTTAATGTTTAAGTGCAGCGCAGCTGATACGGCGAATCGTAGTAAATGTATTACGTATAGTAGTTTTCATGTGTGCTTTGATTCTAATGTCAACAATTAACTGAACTCCATCAGGGAAACGTATTCCACAGGCAGGTGACATCACTGAGTGACTATGAAGACTTTAAGGGAAGTGTGGAGTTGTCAGAGAAACAAGTCCTGCAGACTTGTGCACCAGCTGTTAAGTTCAGACTTGTTGAGTGTTTAGTAAATTTAGTTATTCTGGACTTCTTACAGAAAAAAAGGGGAAATGCTTATTCAGCATCATGTGTCTGCTGGTGGTAGTGCTATTTTACTTCTTTCTTTTTTTTTTGAAGATCAGCGCAAAATCAAAATAATATCAAGTTATGTCTTTCTTTCTTTTTTTGCACAGTACGCTTATGTGCTTCTCGATAACTCTATTGAATGGCTTTATTCATTTTATTAATTCCTGAAAGACGAAACTCGGGGCAAATACAAGTCTCTCAGCTGCAGATTACGCCTATTTGAGTGCACTGAAAAAGCTGAAGGCAACACGAGTGCATCTGCATTTTAATGAACTTCTCTCCCCTTGATCGTGGTGGTTGTACCATTAAAAATAAATGATAATTAAGATTATAATATATTTTAAAAAGTGTTGCTACAGCTCCTGTGACGTGTTTCCTTTAATAATTATGGTCGGGCACCACGTAACATTTATTTTGTTTACCATTTTAATCTCTATAATGTGTCGTCTCTTTTTCTCTTCATAGGTTCAACCAGGGTCAGAAGGCCATAGAGGCCGAAGAGGCTGAAGAGGCCGAAGAGGCTGAAGAGGCTGCAGCATCTAAAGAGGCTGCAGAGTCCTAATCGCTTCTGTTACCAACGCTCCGCTTCCCTCCGTGGACTGAAAGGGAGACGTCTCACTGGGCACAAAGTGGCCCCTTCCTATCATCGGCCCATATTGTCTCCATAATACTCATGCCATAACCATTGTTCTACCCTGTTGGAAATGTGCACTTTTCCTTGAGTTTCAAATCTCCTCAGAAGAGACAGAACCATCTTCAACACACACTCAAGAGTTATTGTCAACGCACAAGTATTACTTGTTTTAACATGTATGATTGTAAATTCTGTGTTCATGCTTTAAGTCTCGTGCACCAGTTGGGAAGTTTTTGCTTTTTTTTCCCCCATCATCATATTTCAGGTGTAGCAAACAGTACCTCATGCACTAATTTCCCAAAACATGTAAGTCTCGGATATGTGTTGAACGTGTTTAAAGGAATGTTTCCAGATTAAATTAAGGACCTTGTCACATTAATCTATTCGTTTATGTATTTATAATTAGGTTACAGTTGCTGTACCTCAGTGATTATTAAATCATTATTACCATGTAATGATTTCTTGCATTTTAACAGCTTTAATCTGTGAGCGAATCATAACTTATTAATCACTTGATTAAATAATTGTCTTGTGAAAACTATAGAAAGTTATTTTGATTATCAGCACCACTTAAACCAATGGCACGTGTTTAACCCGTGCAGCTTTTTATTGATTTGAGTCGACGAAGCAAAAACTGACACGCCAACGGCTCTTTATTATCACAATCCTGTTGAATGCTTTACTAGAAAGGTGTTTCATATTTGTGTGAGAATAGTACTTCCATTAACACGTTCCCAACTTAGTTTACACGTTAGAATCCTATGAATATTTTGGAAAATGGTGTCATCACTTTTGAATATTTCTTGATCTGCTGATTGAACAAATGGTACTTTGGTCGGCTGTGTGATTCTAATAAATCCTGTTTAATACCTGCAGCCTACAAAGTGACGATTATACACACAGATGAATTTACTCATGGTCAATACTGTTTTAACTGCACGAGATGTTCAGACAGCAGGATATATAGAGCACGGAGGGATCGTTAAGATTTGGTGGAGCTACAATGACTTTCACAGATGAAGTGGAAGCTAAACATTTCAGCGTCAGTCTCAAGGCTCTGATATTGTGCTCACTGCTCCGGCTGATCGGACACTTTAAAAGATGTTATTAATATCAGCTTTTCTGTAATGACAAGTCAAAATGTCTCGTGTCTACTGATGTTCAACATAATGCAGTGTTAGTCTTTAAAGTGACTTAGACAAACAATAGATCTTTGTCAGAAATCATCAGTCTGCCTTTAGACTCAAACATGCAAATATAACATGCTATGTTTGTAAACCTGCTATGCAGCCGTGTTCCTTAAACAGTGTATTGCACTGGATAAAGAGCCTATTCTTATGTAGTATAAATCCACTTTTACTTAAACACAGCTGGTTGACACATTAAAAATAAAATATATCAGCATGGATTTTATACGGGTTTTAAAATGATCTTTCTTCAACCGTGTCTTGTTGTAAAATTACAAACACATATGGTGGTTAAGCAAAATGTTTTATTCACAACCCCGAACAGTGAGTCAGATTTAGCGTTTTCCACCCACACGAGGAGCGTTGATCTTCATGGTCTTAGCGACCTTGGGTTTCTGTGCAGTCTTAGCAGACGTCTAGAGGAGAGATACAATAAACAGTTACAAATCACCATTTTATACAACTCACAACTGACCGTGAAGTTAATAATAATCCAATAAATACAGAGCGGCAACATATTCGTACACAAAGCAAAGCTCCTCAACAGTGTACAGTTTGGTTTCTGATACGGCTTATAAAAAAACAATTATTTTAACAATAATCACACAATCATAACATGCAATACAGCGTTCCACTACTTCTAACGTCTTACCTTTGCACTTGCTGCAGCGGGCTTCTTTGATGCCTGCTTTACCTTCTTGGCCTCCTTTGCAGCTCTGAGAGAAGAAAAGAGAAACATTCAGACAAACTAGACAAGCTGCAGACGACGATGTGCTGAAATCCTGTCATCATGCGTCGACATTAACATGTGGAACAACTATTTTTATGGATAAAATAACCACAGCGATTTTTATATAGAGGCAAACGTTTCAGAAAAATTCAGCAGTCCTGCTTATTGATTTGCACACATTTGGCTGAATACACCTGAAAGATATTTAGGGATATGTACCTTGGTGTAAAAAAGGTATGGTACATATTTAGTCTCAGGATTTATATTGTTTTTCCTCAACAGGTTTTGAGGCTGGCTATTTCCTGGACACCATTGTACATAATTGTTAAGCTGAATCCAGCAGAGCACTTCAGCGTGAAGTCTAAACCCTCACTATACTTTTGTACACGCTATGCTTTAGAGATTTGCCAAAACAAAAGAGCCACTGTTGGGATATTCCATTAACCGTGTCAGATTTGCTATATGTAAATATGGCAGCTCACCCCCACATTCATGATTTCTCCACGTGTTTTCACTTGTTTATTGCAAAACAGACTTAGATTAGTGTGACTAAATAGATTCCAAGTTGATGTTTTCCTGAACTTCATAGTAAAAACAGGTGGCAAGATCAGATTCTTTGAAAGGCTAGCGGAAATTAACACTCAAATTCCAAAATTGTACGTGCATAATGTCTCTTCTGCTAAAACAACAACCCCATAATATTACTACATAAAAATACTGTTTGTGTCCTCACCTGATGGCCTGCTCCCTCTGGGCCTTACGGACCTCGGGCTTCTGGTTCCTCTTGGCCATGATTTCAGCCAGGGAGGCCCCAGTGATGGCCCTCTGGAACTTCACTGCACGGCGGGTACGCTTCTTTGCCACCTCTTCCTGTTAACACATGAAGAGACCGTAGTTTATTTGTAGCACAAAATTGTTTTACGTCAAGAATACACGATACACCTGTCCCCAGCCCTGACCGGTATTTTACAATTGCTAGTTGTAATGGAATCAGACTGCACTCAGTACAGGTGAGAAGTACTGTAGCATGTAGGAGAATTTGGAGGCTGGCCAATGGAGAGATGTCAATAAAGACGTCAAGGACCAGTACTATGATCTCCAGTTGCTCTATGGCTGCAGGTGTGGAGTGAGCACTGCTGCCCAGCCTGCAAGACACAGTCGGGCAACAGCACATAACACAGATGGTCACTGTACACACCGTCCACCCGCAGCCAAACCAACACACGTGTACACGATACGTGTATCGACTTGGGTTCAATAGTCTCAATACCAATCATCAATATGGTTTTGTGAAGACAAATATCTGCACCAGACCAGACAATGACAGTACAGTAACTATCTATCTATCTGCAGCCGGTTACTTACAGACTGGCCCTTCTTGTGCTTGCGTCTGTACAGCACCGTCCAGTTGATCTGTCGGGGGTTCCTCTTGGCCAGGAAGGCAGACTCACATTTACCGTTCACAAACTGGAACACCTATCAAAGACAGGAAATCACACCCGGATTACCAAAACTACAAATCCCTGTGATGGACATCAACAATGTAACTCTAATGTGCAGTAAATTGAGATTTAGGACAAATGTGTCTCATCATCATTTAGGAACATCCCAGGCAGGTGTAATTCACCCCCACCCCCATCTACAAAATGTGACATTGTATTGTAGGATTGTTGGAAGATAGTGTGTATATATCATTTCCCCCCCATTGTGCTTATTTTAAGAGCACTTTGTAGTACATGCATTAAAAAAATAATTACATGTTAAGACAAACAAATATTGAACTAATGGCTTTTACTGGATGTATTGTACTAAGTGATGCAGTTTTCATAACATACAGTTTGAAGTGAACCATGAAGGTCCGTCTGCTCCTCTGACACAAGTTAAATATAAAACTAGTTGACGTTACAACACTTGTGGCTTTATCAGTTTACGCTAGCAGCTAATGTTAGCATGTTTCATGGAGTCTATGGACCAACTCCAGAGACCATTGCTTATGTTATGGACCTCTATATGAGACGACACAGAGACAACGAAAACCAATATGTAATCCGGTAAATTGTACTTCACACAATATCTACAGAAAGAGCAGCTGGAAAGCGGTGTCGGGTCGAATGGTTACCTTCCCGTCTATCCTGGCGTATCGGCGGCCATGGCCGGGATATATTTTATACCCGCTGAAACTGCACAACTCGACCCTGAAAACAACAAATAGCAGGCATCACTAAAACAAAAAGGTATACGTTTACTCTTGCTATAGATAACATCGTAAGAATGTTCATTTAAGCGATGAGATGGCCTTTGATAGTATTCTGTACACTCACTTCATGATGGCTACGAGAGGGCACAAAACCGGAAAGAGAGATGACGGAAGCGGAAACGGAATTTGGAGACTACAAATTGATATTTACTAACTAATAAACTATAAGTATATTTTTCAGTCACTTGACGTATTGTTAATACTCTACGTGTTAGATAGATATATAAATTAGCGTTGCTTTTGTACACAATAGTTTAATGAAAAAATACATTGTCCAATAATCACAAGGGTGACGTCACAGACGGCCGGTTGCCTAGCAAGCGAAACAGTAAGCGGGAAAGCAACAAATTACTTTTTTGTTTTAATAATATGATAATAAAGGAGAATCAAGTAAATAACAAAAACAAAATGAAAAAGAGTTACCATCACATCTACGCCTTTTTGTCCTTCATGTTATCAGCTAGCTTCTTTATTACTGTCTTTACTACAACTCGGAAATAACGATATTTGTAGTCTTTTCAAGCCACAAAGACGACACTCTGCAATGAGCGAGGCAGCACGCTTGAACTACATATCCCAGAACGTCCTTGGTTAAACCGTTTGACAGGGGACAGACGCTTCTCGTCTTTGAGACCACGGTCTGCAGCTTGCTAGCTAGCAACGTTAGTTAGCGAACGTTAGGTATTGCCCGAGGCGACAGGATGGGTGTATCAGATTTACAATTCGACACAAATGCTGGTAAGTGGTACATATTAGTTCAACTGTAGCCGCTGTGAGTATGTTTATGAACAGCATAGACATCTCTATGATTACCAGCTAGCTAATATCAGCTAGCATCATCCCAGACTCAAGAGTGCTGCTGTTGGCTAACCTTGTTAATAGTAATGTTTAAAATGAGTAGGTTAAGATATTTTCTTTTATTATTTGGAAGATATTTACATGAGTTTACACAGAAGTAACGTTAGCTCTACCTACCTACAACACAGACGTGATCGCTTTCTCCTCTCTTGTCTTCCATATTGCTCTTAAAGGGTTACTTTGGTGATTTAGTGTTATTCTTTAATGAAGTTGGAGGACTTGCAGATACAGACTAAAACAAAACTCCCTTATTTTTAAACTCCATGCCCCCAGTTTACAAAACAGGCTTTTCTGTTGATTATTTTAAGTTTCAAGCTGCCTAACTCAAGGTAACTTTGATCACAGTAAACTGTGTCTGCCACCAGCTTTACTGCAGGTGTATACTGTCTATGTGTATGGTGATTTGCATTTGAAGAAGTGGTTCTTCAGTCTGTTTAATGTCAACCCTCTGCTCCCACAAGGACCCGTGGTGGATCTTTCATCCAGGGGTATGCAAAAGCTGGATCAGAGTTTCACCTGCTCAGAGGACACTCACACTCTCATCCTGGACCGGAACCACATAATGAAACTGGACCATCTGGAAAGGAGCCCAGGCCTTCAGCAGGTAGTTAAACCCTTTGAAGCATAGTCACTGATAACTCTGTGCCAAAATACTAGTACATTTTATTGATTCAATGCCTTATGTCTTATAATCTTTGCCTTCTCTCCCTTAGCTATCTGTAGCCAGTAACCGTCTGGTGAGAATGATGGGCGTGTCTCGGCTGACAGAGTTGACAGTCCTCAATCTTCCAAATAACAGTATTGGGTACATCGAGGGGCTCCGAGATCTGCCACACCTCAAATGGCTCAACCTGTCTGGGAACAACATTAAGGTGAGGAGAGAAGAGATTCTCACCTACTTCACTGATATTTCATATCTGATTTATTTACAAAATGTCCTTACATAGATAAAGCCGTCAGTTTCAGCCCATGCGTTAATATATTAACCGACTTTAAACTCTGCGACACAGGTCATCGAGCAGCTCAACAACTGTGTTTCCCTTCAACACTTGGATCTGTCGGACAACAACATATCTACCATTGGTGATGTGACTAAACTGGGGGCATTAAAGGTGAGCGCTGGAGCCTTTGAGGTCAAAAGTAAGCCTAAACAAAAAGATGACTATTTAATAATGTACAGTTTGTGTGTCAGATTTCTTTGATGTATCATTGATGGATTTTCTGTCATTTTTTTTCCAGACACTGTTACTCCATGGAAACAGCATTACAACACTCCGCACTATTCCTGCTCACCTACCAGCCAACTTATCCATTCTCTCCCTGGCAGAAAATGAGATCAGGGATCTTAATGAAGTAATTCTCTTTATTCTTCTCACTTGACACAGCAGCACTAATCTCCATTTAATTATATGGATGCTAATTATCATTGACCGACTTATTTCCGTAGGGCTCATACCTGGCACCTCTCCATGAACTGGAGCAGCTGTCCATTATGAGCAACCCGTGTGTCATGGCAACACCCTCATTGCCAGGTTTTGATTATCGGCCGTATGTCATGAGCTGGTGTCTGAGCCTCAAGGTTCTGGACGGCTATGTCGTGTCACAGAAAGAAGGGTGTGTACATTTTTTTTTTTTATGCTGTTACAAGTTGCGTGTTAAGGTTAATGCAGGAATACTATCAAAATGTTTGAATCTCTTTATTTAGTGTGTATAATTGTCACAATTACAGCCTCAAAGCCGAGTGGCTCTACAGTCAGGGAAAAGGACGCTCATATCGACCAGGTCAGCATGTTCAGCTGGTTCAATACTTGGCAAATGTTTGCCCTCTGACGTCATCACCAGCCCTGGAGACGGCAGAAGACGCCAAACTGGAGAAGATCCTCAGTAAGCAGAGGTACAGACCACAGAGACGCCACAGACCCTCATCCGATACTCACCTCAAGGCCATGATAACCCTGCCATAAATCCCAATGACCTCATGTTTGCGCTGCCATTTTTTTTCAGGTTTCACCAAAGGCAGCTGTTAGAGGAGACTCGAGAAGGCTGTCCCAGCCCTCCTCGTCCGACTCAGCTGGACGTGGAGAGGCACAGTCCGTCACATCCGGTCCCACGGGGGGGAGGAGCCGGAGAGGTGAAGCAATTCAGTGCACTTACACCGGCTGCTGCTCCCTCAGTCCGGGAGACAGGTAAGAGGGCATCTTTACGGTGCATACGTTTTTTATTGTTTCTCTTTATTAGTTGTGATTTCTTTGTCACAATTTTAACTGTTTGTGCTTACTTTGGTTCAGAGCCAGTTGTGCAGTTTAACACCTGGATGAGCTGCGATTCCCCTCACCCGTCACTGCCGGTGGTTCGCAGCCCACGGCTCGGAGAGGAGCACGTCTATCTGGAGGACGTTCAGACGGATGAGGAGAAACTCAACGGCAGCATGCTTTCCTCAGAGTCCACCTTTCTGCCCTTCGCACCTGATCCGGAGCTGCAAACGTCCCACTCTGACAGCGAGGATGAGACGGAGACATTTGAACCCGATTCCCTGGCTCCGACGCGGCCAGCACAGCCCAAAAAGCACAACACCAACAAGACGCACCATTCACCCCCGGCGGATAAGCAAGAGAGGGGTCTCGTAGAGGAAGTTATTCCTGGCGCAGCTACAACAGCTGAACCACTTGGCGTCAGAGTTGGCACACCTCAAAATGACCTGGAAACATCCTCTGACTTTGGTAAAGCTGAGATGAAAGAAGCCCCCGAGCAGGAAGAAGTCGGCATGCGTGCCAGTACATCAAGTGCGATGGAGGCAGACGGGGCAGCGGTTAAAATACAGTCATGGTGGAGGGGACGGCACACTCGGTTTTGTCACCCCATGGCTAAAGAGGTGCGCAGTGAAATCCGCCTGTGCAGGATGCAAGACCACATCCTCTCCCTGTCTGGACAGTTGGACAGGTATGCGGCTGACATTGTATATTTTCTATTGTACTTATGGTATGAGAATGGTTGCACTTTCACACATGTTACATATGGTTGTGGATGATATTTACAAAATTATTAATAGGTAAAAAATGGGTTTTGTTGGCAGGGTGCAGCAGCAGTATGAAGAAGAGAGGTTACAAAGACTGGTTCAGGAGGAAGCTGTAAAGTTTCTGTGGAAACAGGTCAGTGTGTGTGTGTGTGTGTGTGTGTGTGTGTGTGTGTGTGTGTGCGTGCGTGCGTGCGCTGTCGTGGCTGGTAAAAATGGCTTTCCGGAGAGGATGCACCTTTTTAAAATTGTCTGTTCACGTGGCTGCCTAATTAGTTCAGCACTATTCCTGTGTTATCCTTGTAGCTCCAGTCTATGCAGCAGTGGAAGCAGTCTGTGGAGCAGCAGCTGGCTAGCATTAGTCCGGCTGTCACCCCGGCTCACACCTCAGCTCCTGGACTATACGTGGCCGTCCCGCCTGCTGCATCCAGCACGGCGAACCCACCCACCACGGACGCCTCATTCCCGGACTCTGGCTTCCAGTCAACAAGGGATCAGCAGGCAGCGCAGGAGGACAGTTTCCTGAGCAGTGGGACAACAGACTCTCTGAAGACAGTGCGAGCCCTCAGCCCTGTTCACAGTGGCTTTGCTGGCGTTAGCGACGGTGCGGACAGCGCAGACTGCAGCCTGCTGGAGCAGTACCTCTCGTCTGTACAGCAGAGGGAAGAGGAGGTGACTAGTGACAGAACAGAAACATCCTCACCAGTATCACCCAGCAAAACAACACAGTCCGACTCCCCCACTCAGAAGACGGCAGACAACCGATCACAAGTGCAAAGAAAGGAGGAAACCACTCCTGGCCCCGACTGAGAGTCTACACCCACAACTACTGAGCGTGTTTCATTTTGACTGGAGCATAGAGATGCGTTGGGATGAGACTCTGTCTGACACTCGTCTTGATTAATGACCCAGATCTCAAATAGTGGTGCACTTAGTTTCACTTGTTTATCAAGACTGAAAACAACACATAACTGTGAATGTAACTCACTGTAACTCAGCTTTATACATTTGGATCTGTTCTGTTATTTAATAATTTCCTCTCTGTGTGAAGGCAGTGATCGTGATGTAGCTTCAGAACATATTAGTACCTTGAGATCAATCATATATGATGGAATACTCTGAGTAGGTTGCTACCTCTACTGATTAAAAGAGCAGGTATTGCAGATCCTCTTCTCGTTATCAACATCCGCTGTATTAAATACATGTGATAAACTAATATACTCTACATGAAACATCAAGCTTACTATCAATCAATCACATTTAATAGCTAAACTGTTTTAAATCTTTTGTTTCAACTTTAGATCACATCATCAGAAAATCCTGTAGCATCTTTAGCTTGAAAATATGTAAATAAATTGAAAATTATTATTTTCCAATTATTGTTATTTGGTTTGTTGAAACGATGATTGATCACAGCTGTGCTTGTCCTCCTATGACTACCAGTATTCAAATCACTAACATGCCACAGAATCAAAATATGAAATTACAAGTTAAATTCTGCTTTGAAAAGTTAACTTGAGTATTAACAAAATGTAGGCTGTGTAACGTGTGCACTATTATGTTCTGGTCATTGTTATTGATATGCAAGTGGTACAATGATGTAGAGGTTGAGCTAATTTGAACAATTTCATATAGGTTTAGCAGTTTAATCTGTAACAATGGATCATATTTTATAAATTGAATATTTTATTAATTTTCTTGCTGAAATGTAGTGAATTAGAAGTATAAAGTTGGCATAAATAGAAATACAAAAGTCATGTACAAGTACCTCAAACCTGTATTTAATTGATCTACTTTTTCTTCAGGCTTGTTTCTTTGCGCGTGAATAAACGGCCTTACTCACGAGTCGCTTTAATTCCGCTTTTATACGCTCAAGTTTTACATGACTGACCACCAGAGGACGCAGCGAGGCTGGACCACCCATCAACCCGACCAATGGGACTGTTTTTCTCCCATCGTGATTAGTGGGTTCTCTTAGTTAACGGGACGCGGAGTCTGCCACACCGGCTCTAACGCGCTAACCAAGCCGCTGCTGTCTCCTCTCCTCCGGCCTCACCACCCTCCTCCGGCTGGATAACGATCCGACTCCGACATCATGACAATCTGTCGACGTAATAACGGGTAAGTGTAGCACTGCACGGATAAAACGCCTGCATCGCCAGTGTAAACGTTACCTAACATGGGTACGGTGGTATGAGTGGTATTATGGTATTAGATACGTGTCGGAATGTGCACACATGTACCGACAATAGGCCCGTTGTTATTCCCTTCGTCTCTTTGTTGTTGCCGCTGCAGCCATTCACATAATACCAGCAGCTGACCGCACGAATCCGTTCATTTCTCAAGATGGAAGATTTCCCTAAAAATGACAACCGGAGGGATGTTAACAGTCATCAGTGCCATTTTTTTTAAAGCGTTAGGCCCTATATACAAATATGCTTTAAATCTGCTTGTTTTAACTTATGGAAATATAAGCGTGTTTATGAGCTACTGCACAATAACCGTGATTGGCCAAATGGAATTGACATCGAGTACAATGGGTGTTGTGTGGAAACAATAATGGCATTAATTGCTTTAAGGTTATCAATGATTAATGCCTTTCCTGTGGCAAGAGTGCATTTGGTTTAAAGTCTTTCTATGGAGCAGCGGAAGTCACCAAAACAACATGATGCTTTTGCATCGCTCATAACAACTGCCAACCTCCAAAGGAGGAGTGGGACTATGGAGCATGTGTTAATTGTTATAGTGTTATGTGACTCCGATGCAGGCAGGACAAACAGCCACTTAGTGCCAGAGTAAGAAAGTAGTTATAGGTTGTGTGTGTGTGTGTGTGTGGAAAGCATAGTGTATATCGTTTTTGACGTTGGGACTAAACCACCTAACTGTATAGAGTAGTTAAAAAAACTAGCTCCCTCTCAACAATATGTGTCGGTATTAACACTTGTTTCATGTATAACTACAATCGTGATACTTGTGTACTTTTACTTAATCAGCAGAATAAAGCATCTCCAAGGCAGACAACACGGAGGTGCAAAGATTGAATGATTTTCACGTGTTTCTTTATTACGGTGAATAGAAGACGTGCTAGTTTTCTGTTTCTTCATCCTTCTCGTTGACAGAGTTCATCCGCCAGCGTCGGTCGCTGACGACCAAATGACGCCATCATCGTCGGTGTGACAACATCGAGTGAAACAGGGCCTGATCATGGGAGACAGAACGAGGTCACCATGTGCCGATATCTGTCCAAATATGCCCTCATCTTCCTCTTCCTAGCCCTGTCTGGCCTCATCTTCCTGCTACGCAACATCCACACTGTGGAGGTGAGAAGTGGGCGACACTTGGGGGTTTTCTCAATTATTAGAGTGGGGGAGTGATTCAGGGAACGGTGCCGGGAAGAGGCTTAATTAGGCGCAGCTGAAACCCATCTTGAATTGTGTGTCTCTCTCGCAAGAGTTTGTTACAATAACATTCACTGATACAGAATTAACTCTCCTCCCTTTTTCTTCAGAACTGGAACTGCCACACTATTTCAGCCCTCTACCAGCTCCAGAGCAGGATCCAGTCATCCTTAGTCCCATCGTATCTCCCCACTTTTCATCACAACCGCACCTTCTGTGCCCATCTGGGCCAGAAACCCTTTCCCGAAGATGAACTGGAAGAGCGCTACCTGTTGGACTCCATCGTCTGGCCCGGGCCTCCGCCTGGCTCCACAACAACCGGCCTGCGCCAGACCAGTGACCCGGTGCACAGCCTGTTCGCCATCCTTCCCACTAAGGGACGAAGGGAGTGGCATGTGGGCGAAGAGCTGGAGGCCCTCGTCCAAATGCATGACTTCCAGGGTCGTCCTAAGCACTACGGAGGGGATTTCCTTTTGGCCAGGCTGCACTCTCCGGAGCTTGGAGCAGGTGTAGCGGGTAAAGTGCTGGACCACAGGAATGGCTTTTACTCCGCCATGTTCCCGCTCCTCTGGGTGGGGTCTGCACAGGTGGAGATTACGCTGGTGCACTCCAGTGAGGCCGTTGCCGTTCTGCGGCGGCTGAGGGAGGAACGACCAGATCGAGTGTTTTTCAAGAGCCTGTTCCGCCTGGGCTTCCTGTCTGAAACGACTGTGTGCAACATGTGCCTGCCCTCTGACCAACAGCCGCTGTGCAACTACACAGACCTTTACACGGGGGAGCCCTGGTACTGCTACAAGCCTAAGATGCTCAGCTGTGACACCAGAATCAACCACGCCAAAGGAGGCTACCTGAAGCACCTCATTACCAACAAAGAGGCATTGCTCTTCCAGAGGTTTGTGTTTTTATAGGTTGTAATATGACATATGTTTGTGTTGTAGTAAAGGCTGAGTCAGTTATTGCTTGTTGCCTGTGTAGCCAAAGTGAAATAGATTACTCCTTCAGTGTCCAATAAACTATAAACACATAAATGAGCCACAGTGTAGCACTGGGTGACATTTTCCTTTATTATGATGCACATCTGTCCTGATGCAGGAAATTATTATAAAAAAAAGAAACCAACACTAATGACCTGTTTTTAAAGCTTTACATTTTCAGTATTCAGTATTTAAGGTGGACAAACACACTGTCGATTTTGATATTTTTTTCATGGGATTAATAGAATATCACCAGACTCAACCGTTACCATTGTTTTAACACGGATCAATTCTGTCGCTTTTGTCTTAGTGGCGTAAACATTAAAGTTCGCATACACGCTTCAGGACCCGACAGAATCAACGTGCTGCCTCCCAGGAAAGGTATGCTACGCCTGCAGAGTAACGTTTGCGGTTGTTGCGTCATGTGGCGTGCTTTGATTCATTCCATTCATTTTGATCTTTTTCTCTGCACCCTTTCTTGCTTTGTATCAGAAGTAGAGGTAGAAAACAGCAGCGTAAACCCAGAACCTGGTAAGCTGGCGTCGTCCGGATATTTCTACGAGGACTCATGGAGGTCATTGAGTGGCGTTACAATGCGCCCGTTCAACGACTCCTCTGCCATCACTCAGTGTTTGAAGAACAAGGTGATCAACATGTACGGAGACTCCACCGTCAGGCAGTGGTTTGAGTACCTCATTGAGTTAGTACCAGGCGAGTGATGTCTTCTTGTCTCATCTTTTAGTTTCAACCTCTGCACTCGTGTATCTGTCTCACTTCAACTTCAATCTATCCCATTTTCCCTCAGGATTAAAGGAGTTCAACCTGCACAGTCCTAAAAACGTTGGGCCTTTCATGGCGGTAGACAGCATCCATAACATTCTCTTGAAGTACCGCTGCCATGGCCCGCCCATCCGCTTCTCCACCGTCCTGTCCAGCGAGTTGCGGTACGTTTCCAACGAGCTGGACGGCCTCTCGGGGGGTCCCAACACCGTCGTGGTCCTCAGCGTTTGGGCCCATTTCAGCACCTTTCCCGTGGAGGTGTACATACGGCGGCTCCGTCACATCCGACGGTCGCTGGTGAGACTTCTGGACCGAGCGCCGGGGACCCTCATTGTGATCCGCTCAGGCAACCTCCAAGCCCTGGACCAGGAGGTGAGCCTGTTCAACAGCGACTGGTACTCCCTGCAGCTCGATGAGGTGCTCAGGTCCATGTTCAGGGGACTGAACGTGCTGCTAGTGGACGCCTGGCAAATGAGTTTGGCACACCACCTTCCTCACGCCCTCCATCCACCTCAAGTCATCGTCAAGAACATGATCGACATGCTTTTGTCTTACGTTTGCCCGTAGAAGATATGGAAGAAGAGTGACAATAGTGGATCTTGTTGAAGGAAACTGGGGAGTTAACTGTGTGAATCCATTATCCAGATGTTCCCCAAAGCTACACACCTTTAAATACTGTCTTTACTGAGAGACTTCTAGTACTGATCTCTGTTTACCTGCCTGTTCTATTTAATTTTGAATCCCACGAAACTCATTTTATTCTGAAAATGCCAAAGACTTTGGGACAGTGATTGTTTCGTCCCATCTGCTTTTGTTGCCAAAGTGTTTTGTTCATGCATGCAGAACTGTTCTTCAAGTTGTCCATATTTGTAGTTTGTATTCTTTCAAGGTTGGAGTTTGAACATTTATACATATATTTGTTTGTTAGTTTTGCCAAAGCTGAAGACTCAGTGGGTTCTTATTTTCCTCAGGCTGTTAAGAATGTGTTCTCATGCTCTGATGGTACAGCACACTCATTTATCAGGCCATTTTAAATGTTCGGCAAACTACTACATACATGAACTACATTGTTAAATCTCATCTATATATGTGGCCAATTTGGTTTATCCATGTTCTTTCAGTTGTTTACAGTGCAGTTCACTGTTACTCCTTATGACATAACACATTAAAATGGCTGCATTTATTGCACTTTCATCCAAAGTGTCAACCATATTTTAACTTATTGAGGATCATCTTTTATATGCTCATCCTTGACTTTTAGCTGGTGACTTCTCCAACAGATCAGCCTTCAGACAGCTTTGATAAATGCACATCACTTCAGACGCTGTCACTGGTGTGTGTTGACTCAGCTCTTTTGTACAAATACTTTCTATTTCAAGTATTTCCTTTCTGTGTTCAATTAAAATCAAGACCAAGTACTTCATGCTGTCACATGTTCATTAAAGGAAGACAGTGGAGACTGGAGTCACCAGGTTTGAGAAAATGTGCCTATTTCCTGTCTAATCCAGTTTGTCCCTTTTAGAATTATCAGAGGCAGACTCTGAGGAGACTGTCAGAACGTATACGAGCAGAGTTGCTGTCATGTTTGTGATTGTCAAATGTGTGCTTTTCTATCTGTTAATATGAGCGGTTGTGGTTCATGACGGTATTTTGTCATTTGATTATTCAAATGAGGTTAGATCAAGCAGTGAAAGGATGCTTGAGATGGAACTGGAAGATTAATCTATGTAATATTTCTATCACTATATGGGGGTATGATATTGTGAGGACTAATCAAGATCATAAGATGGTGATGCATCTGGTATCATGCCTTGTCCTGATATTAAAGCCTTTACAGTACAATAAACTAAACTGTTACAATGACACCATTAGGAGTCACTCATCCGTCTCAGTCGCTCCGGTTTCTCATGAATTCTCAGTTGAATTCATTTTTTTTGTGTTGAACAGGGAACGTTATTAAGATTAAAATATCTTTTAAAGAGATCTGGCCTAGAGGGAAGCAAGACTGTTGCAAAATGAAAAAATAAAAAAATAAAAAAAATCAGGTTAAGATAACGGTCACTCATGAAAGAAGAGATAAATTGTTACCCGGATGCTTTGCCGTCCCCTCAAAGAGAATGGGGGAAAAAAAAAACCTGTTAAGAATTGAGGCAAACGGTTAACAACGGTTATTATAGATGCTCCCTGTTCTGCTTCCTGTCAGAACATGTATAGCAAACAGACGCCGAGTCGTACATCACATCCACTCCATACCGACACATTTTAATTAAACATACTTAAAGCAGGTAACTGGTCCACCAGCAGGGAGCAGAGCATCCAAAGTGAACCAGGTAACAACACTGCTTGAGTGGCCCTAAAAAACGACATACTAAATCACTCATATTTTTTGACAATTTTATTTAAAAAGTTTCATGTTCCCTTTAAAAACTTCCAGCATATCTGCCAATACTAAAGCTTGCAGAGTATCATGTTCTCTAGGAGTAAAATATCAGATACGGTTCATCAGTAACTTTGGCAAAAACACCACAACAGGAAGAGCGCTCTATACAAATGCCAAGAGAAAAAGACAGCGTTGTATACAAAAACATCCTGATGGTGACACTAAATCCCCAACAATGCCTTCAAACACATTCAAGAAGACAGAAGTGCCTCCCACTAAGAATAACTGGCTCTCAAGGGGAGGCAGAGATGGAGAAACAGATTGTGGAGTGTTCTTACATCCTGTGTGCAGGCTAAAACATGTGGGCAGATAGATAGGAGTGTACAATATGAAGCAGCAGCTATGGAGCCAAATAAGGCTTCTTTGCAACTCACCGAACAAAAAGAGGTTTTAACTCAGAATGCGGAGCGGTGTAATCCTGAGGCCACACAGGAAGAGGCACTGAGAGTTCCTGTTCAATTTCTATCTCATTTTTAAAGCTTCATAATGAGTCCTCTGTTGATTTGTGGAAAGACAATAAGAAGCATTGTGCGTTAATGTTGACCACTGTACTCTTGTTATGCAGCAGCTCGGATTCATCTCTCAAAATCAGATTTTGAGTCACTGCGAGCGCTAAATACGACAACATCTTAGCAGGATAATCTAGTGGAAGGAGTGTAGTTTAAGTTGCAAAGATATATAGAGGTCACGCTTATGATATTTGATATGCCGTTTATAAGTGCGTCTATTAAATATTTTACTCAGTCAAGACCTTCAATCAGGTTTGGAGAACTGATGAAACAAAAAGTATAGTTCTGAAAGAGGAAAATACAACTTACTATAGACCAGGGGCGTTTCTAGGATTCAAAGAAAGGGGGGGGAGTGGCATGTGTGCGCGTTTTTTTTTGGGGCCCATTTGAGGCCGCGGATATCCATTGTTTCAGACAGTTCATAGATTGGTTCAATCAGAGAGTGTGATTTTGCTCTGTAGTTTTGCTTGCATTCAGTATATGATAACACAAGAGACAGAATTTGAGGGTCACAGTGAAATTTGACAACACAAATATGAACTTTTCTCAAATAAAGAATATCCTCGTCACTCCCAAATCCTAATTCTTAAAGGGGCCGCACACATTGGATGGAGAATGGACCCGACAGTGTCAACTTTATATCGTTAAGTATGATGATCGGCTGTTGGATTGTAATTTGAAGGGGGAGAAAACATACAAACCAGAACACACGCACATATGTAGCATGTTAGAGTTATAAATAACATGTCCATGTGAGAAACAATAGTTTAATTTAATGACATCACCAAAATAAAAATATATATTTTTTTCTTTTTAAGCCAATAATGGCAAATTATTTGGGGGGGGCTGAAGAACATTTGAGGGAGGCTTCAGCCCCCCTAAAATAGGCCTAACGACACCCCTGCTATAGACTTACTATAACTTATAAATGAAAGAGAGAAACAAAGAGAAAGCTAAAAAGGCAAGAATCATTGGCAACGTTTCTGAACGGAAACGATGCAGAAGTTGTACACGACGTCAGCATATCGAGTTGAGAGAGGGAGAGTCGGGATCACACGTCCTGGACGTTCATGGCCTCCTGTGGCCAGCTGTACGAGTCCAGAGAGAAGGAGTCGTAATCTGGACTGTAGATGTGAGACAGAACAAACGCCTCCTTGTCTTTAGGCTCAGGGTACAGGGAAGCCATGTTGTGCTTGTATGCATATTCGACAATCTGGCAGAGAAGGAAACAGAAGGAAAAAGGGGTAAAGAATATGCATTTGTTATTTTCTTCATATAGATTCTTAATACAAGTTATGGGATCAATCACGAACAAAAGATTTTCTGCCAAAGATGACACAGTTTTTGGTTATTTTGGAGGAAATATTTCTGTTTTCCTGTTAGTTTCACTGTTAAAGTGGAACTGATTTTAAAAAGGTGATGTCACGTACCTCAGTGCACCAGTCAGGATTTAGCAACAACTGAACTAGAATTGAGTGTCAATCAAATCAGATCAACACAGTCCTGATGAAGATTAGCCGAGTTTATGAGTGTTAAACTCTTAATAAATTATATATAAAAGATGTTTTTTTTAATCATGAATATTTAGAGTTTGAATTTTCTTTTTCCTGATAGACTTTAGTACCAGATACAAAAAACAGAATCTCTTCAAAATATAAATCAGCTTTAGCAGACGCTTATCTACATTTTATTGAATTAAGTAATAAAAAGTTTTGAAAATAATATCCTCACATCTTAACACTTCCCAATCACAGTAGTTACCCACAAAATCACAACACAAACACCTTCAGTGAAACTAATTCTAGAAGACACACATTCCATTGTGAGGAATGAGGGCCGACCACACAAAAAGATCACTTACCTTCACTGCGATCTTGAAGGACACCTCTCTTATGGAGTTGAGAGGAGGATAGAGTCTTCCCTCGGCCAGGTGCTCCTCTGTTACCATGTCAGCTATCGCCTGAAACAACGGAGGAGACACGAAGATGAAGGAAAGTGCAGAAAGAGAGGCCTTAAAATACCATAAAAGATGCAACTGTGTACAAAAGGGTGTAAAATCCTTATTGGTTGGAGTTGACTCTTCAAGTATTTTTATTCAGAACTCACGCCCTCATAAATAAATATTAATGCATCATTAATATGTGAAGACGATACCTCTGCTGTGGTGAGGAAGATGTCGTCAGATATGTGGCGCACTCCGCAGGCAATAACACCCAGAGCAACTCCGGGGAAGACGTAGGCGTTGTTTCCCTGGCCGGGGTAGAAGGTGCGTCCGTCAGCCAGAGTCACTTTGTCGAACGGACTTCCGCTGGCGAAGATGCCGCGGCCCTGAAGAGGAATAGAAAACACAAAGTGTGAGTGACTTCTGTAAAGACAACAGAAAGATATACAAGATATCGTTTTGCTGAAAAGGCAAGTTCTGTTACCACATTGAACGTTTTTTTGGGAAGTTCTTACAGAGCCTCTGAATGTCTTGTCAGATGTAGACTAGGCCTTGGTGTCAAACTTTCTAATGTGTTTACGTTGAGAAACCTCCAAATCTGTCCATATCTGCTAAATGACAGCTGTATTCAGTTCTACGCAATTCCACACACAAGAATTCCAGCAGGGGGCTTAAAAAGAGAGCAACGCATCAATAAAAGCACAGAAAAAGACGACCACAAGCAAAAATAACACAGTTTTAATTCATAAACTGGATTTTAAAATGTTGTATGAGGTAGGATATGTATTTAGAGGGGTTATTTTTACATCTCAAGTGGACACACACAATAGCATATTTGTGTGAGAACCACTGAATATAAGCTAAATAACACCTTCAATCGACAGTGAGGCAGACGAGTACCTCTGTGAGCTGGTAGCACTGCTCTGCTGTGCACTCCGCCTTGCTGGTGGGGTTACTCAGGGCAAAGATGATCGGCCTCTCGTTGAAGGACCCCATGTCTTTGATTATCTTCTCAGTGAACGCTCCTGCGACAGCAGCAACTCCTTCGTGTTCAGGGAACAGAACATTAATGACTTCAATGTCACAAGAAACAATGTGAATAAAAAGGTGCCATTTCAGACCATTCGGTCAATTACTGTCAAGCAAAGAATTACAATCTCAAAATTGTAGTTACTTTAACCTCTAGATCAGTTTCTACTTTGAATTATTGTCTTATAATTTCATAGTTTTGATTAAAACTCTGAGCATGTCTTCCAGTTCATCCCACATGCAGTGTTTGAATCTAGACCCATGAACACCAACGTACACATCTGAAGTCTTTGAGAGAGTTAGTTGATTTGGAGGAAATGACCAAGTTGTTATTGTGCCGAGCAAAGCTGGAGCGACCAAAAAAAAAAAAAAAAAAAAAAAAAAAAAAAAAATCGCCTTTAATAGGTTTCTCTGTTTTTCCACAACTGATGACCATAAATGGATGAAACAAACAACGAGAGTTATAAAGGAGTTTTACTTTAACACCGTTAAGAACCACAATGTGAGCTTCCAGGTAGACTCACCTATGATGGCAGTGGGTTTGACGGTGTGCACCACTTCCTCCAGGGTCTTTATGTGCGGGTGATCATGAGCGAACTCTTCCTTCTCGTGGTTGAGATTGCCTCTTCCCTAAAGTAGTAGTAGAGTAAAATGTGTTTTCTTTCTCCGTTTGGTGATTGACACACACAAAGTTGATATCTGGGAAAGCTGAGCAAGTGACAGATTTACCTTCACGATAAGACCTTTGGAGTCCACCATCCAGATTCTCTTGGCAGCTTCTTCTCTACTTACTCCCTCTTTGGCCATGGCCATCATGAGCAGGTGAGCGATACCCAGAGCAGCCTGGCATTAAAAACAAGAAGAAAGAAAATTCTTCATCGACCTCGGCTCGTTTTAAGTGCGTCAATTGAACGCGTTCGGGATTACAGACAGTTATTTGTCATTCTGAACAGAATAAAATCCAGTGGGCAGACATTCTTCTCACCTCGCCCGCCCCCTGGAACACCACGGTGTGGTCTAAGAGTGTGCTCTTGGTGATCTTCAGAGTCGCCAAGATCCCAGCAACAGCTACTGAGGCCGTGCCTGAAGAGAGACAATAAAACACAATGTCATTTAGATGAGTGGTTTTCTGTTGTGATACTTTAAGGTAAAGAAATTATCTTCCTGTGGCCGCTCGTCACTGGTTGCATATTTCTACCAGTTGTATCCACAATAATATAATTTTGTGTCGCAAATTTTATTTTATTTTTTTCTGCTTCTCTATTTTGATAATCGCCTCAGGAGCCCTCACGTTTATTTTGAGACCTCAGGGTCTCCACCCCCAAAATTTGATTTAAATCTCTTATGAAATATTAGACACAGACTAATAAAGTGCATCATGACCATACACATAATTTAAATACATGAAATGTGTAATTCAGAAATATAAAACTGATTTTATCATTTGTTGAGTTTGTCAGAGTGACAAACTCATTAAACATTTAATTTAAACATTTAAATTTAACATTAAACATTTAATGTTCTCATATTTAGTATTTTTTTATGTTCTGATATTTGAGTGTTTTCATGTTGTATCATTTATCATGCTTATAGCGTTTACTGCTTGTTGCAGCAATTGTAGTACAATATTTGTGCGTTTTCTTCTGCTTTACGTGTATAATGTCATCCTCACACCAGCAGTAGTAAGAGTCGGAGTAGTTATAAGAGGACTCCAGCAGGGGGAGCACACGGCTCCTTTTAATGGACACCTCATTTCCTCCCTGCACTAGTTACACAAACGATCTGAGGAAAGTTTGTGTCTGTGCATCTTCATGCAGACACTGAGTGTCTAAGTACCCTGGATGTCGTCGTTGAAGGTGCAGTATCGATTCCTGTATTTGTTGAGGATGCGAAAGGCGTTGCTGTTGGCAAAATCCTCAAACTGAATCAGACAGCTCATCCCGTACCTGCAGAGTGACAGAGTAATAGAGTCACACATCAGCAGTCGCTCGCACGTTCTTCTGTCCGTCGTGTTTCTACTGACTTGTCCGTCACTGCCTGCATGAACTCGTCGACCAGCTCGTCGTACTCCTTTCCTCTGATTCTCTTGTGCTTCAGTCCGATGTACAGGGGGTCATCGAGCAGCGCCTGGATCAAAAATCAGCCAGTTAATCAATCAATGAGAGACAACTTGACATTACCTTTCTGTTCTGCTCAAACTCCTCCGATATGCCTTATCAAATACCAACTGATAAGAGTCAGATATGAAGTGCTGCAGCTCTTTGATCGAACACACCTGGTTGTCAGTGCCGACGTCCAGCAGCACCGGGAGACACTGCTGCGGCCGCACACCACCGCAGGCTGTGTAGAGCGCCAGCTTCCCGACAGGAATGCCCATACCGTTGGCTCCCAGGTCACCCAGGCCGAGGATACGCTCCCCGTCTGTCACCACAATGGCCTGCAGGAGAACACACATCAGTAAAATATGAATCATACAGTGATAGTTTCCCCAGGCATAAGCAGCTGTGTATGTGTGTGTGTACCTTTATGTCTTCCTCAGGCCAGGAGTTGAGCATGGTGGCGATGTGGCCTCTATCGTGGATGGTGATGAAGAGTCCTCTGTAAACAAGTAAGTTTCAATTATAGGGCGGCAGTATTGATTTGATGATGCACATTTTTGATCAGTTTCCTGCATGCTGCTGGCTTTCATTCACCCTAACCCTACACAATAGTAAAAACTGACACACTAATGTTAAATAAACAAATAATGATTTGATCTCTTCTCTGTCTTTTACCCGACAATAACAATGAAATTCAGATTAAACTCAAACGACACTGTGTGTTCTTTGTGACGGATGAAGTTACTCAAACCAGTTTTACATCTCAGCAAGTTTAACTGTCCGAAGCGATATTAACAGAAACCAAACTGTCATTTGTTGTTTCAAAACATGAAAAACGGTCCTTCATAGAAAACGTTAAACCAAATGTAAGGATGAAAAAGTACCGTGGTCTCCTGAAGGCGTGGCCATACTGTTGGCAGGCCAGGCCCACAGTGGGAGTGTACACGATGGGCATGAACTCCTCAATGTCAGAGGTCAGCAAACGGTAGAACAACTTCTCGTTCCTGTCCTGCAGCGTCATCAGCAGGATGTACCTGAGACAGAGAGCAAACGTCGCCATTTTTGTTTTTGCTGCAACATTTTCTCTGATTTGTGTTACTTCTGCATGAAATATAGTGAGACGGAGGTATGACAAGCAACAAATGTCTCAGGACAGAATCAAACCAGACAGGCTGCAGTCATCTGATATGAGTCTTAACTACTCGGCCACTGGATGTTGCAGCACAAGTCTTTCATATGACAATAAATAAACTATTAATCACACGACGACTGGTGAGAACAACAGCAGATGGTGACCCGCTAAAGGAGATTTGACCAAACACGTGGGACAGCCCCCCCCCCCCCCGATAGGTTGAGCTCCTTCAACATCTGCAGCTGTATTCTTGAACAGCACTTCAGCATGCTTTACTGTAAATGTCTTGAGTCGGTTCCCTCACTTGTCCAAAGGATTGGAACGCGTTTCGTAGCTCTTCATGACCCGCAGCACTTGCACATCCTGGGAGAGGAAGCAGGGGGGCAGCAGGCCGTGGATGCCCAGCTGTAAGCGCTCCTCCAGGGTGAATGCCATTCCCTGCAGAGTGGAAGAGGAGCGGTTATACAACACTGTGGAAAAAAAAGAGCGTGCACAGGGCGAGGCCCGCTAACTAAATAAGAAATCAAACCACCCAGACCACAGTGACTCATGTGTTAGTCATCCCAGAATATGGTGGGTTATGACTCATACCCGCGCAGCCCAAATACAGTGGTCTTTTTGATGGTTTTGATGAATTTGTTTTTGTATGGGAACACTGGTATGAGAGCAACATTTAAAAAGACCTACAAATGTTTTGTTCACTTAAAGCAGTAAACGAGGCCGAGCTTTTATTGTGGTAAGCAGCCTTGTACCTCTCTGCCTTCTGATTATGTTTAGTGCTGCCGCTCGGCCGTCTCGAGTTTGGCATTCTTCCCAAAGAGTGATTGGAGGGGAGCGCGACATTTGATCTATTTATTCTGTCCAATAGTGCGGGAGCCTGAGCTCACTCCCCTGTCAGTTTCACTTCTCTTTCCTCTTCCCGGCCGTATCGCTCTCTCCGTTTCCTCTCTACTCTCGCACGGCAGAGGAAACACTGACCTACATGGGGAACAAACTGGCCCTCCTGAGGTCTGAACACATCACACATTACAGCTACAGTTGTTCCACGAGCTGCGTGCTTTCCATTGAGGAGTATTTTGTATATATACGGCTGAACACTATACTGTAGGGCTGCAAGCGACAGTCTGCACAAACAAAAGTCCTGCCTGCCAGAAGTCAATTAAAAGGAGATACTCTGACACACCAAACAAGGAGAGAGAATGCCGGTCTGCACAACAAACTTTCAAACTAGTCTAACGTCCCACATGTAAATGCGTTTACCAAATGTGGTCATACACAGTCAAAGAGAAAATCACAGATTAACAGAGATAAGGTAAACCCATCAGAGCAAGCAGGTTAAGTAAAGCCGTTAAGGTGACACCCCTAACCAGTAGCTATTAACACATTAAAGATGGAGAGAGGGAGACTACATGTGGGTGGGAAAAGTATAAACTGCTTAACCTTAGTAATGGCTCCAGTCCAAATCTTATCATGGATTACTATGAGGTTACAACATAATAGCATCCCATATAATCACACGTGTTGCTTTTAGATGGTTATGATCTGATTGAGTTTGACATTTCAGAGGTCACTGCAACCAGTTTGTTTGCAGAAAGAAAGATGTCAGTGAATAGGGTTATAAATCTAGCCTCCCTCAATAAAGACCGCTCATAAATCCAGTGGAGCCACTCGGTGTCAGTTGGGATTACACCAAGACTGTGTGACGGTGACATCATGTGTGTAAATGTGAAGAAAGGGTTGTTGAAAACGAGTAAGCAGTTACTCGATTTCTAACTGGACCGTTTCGTCTAAAAGTGGAATAATAATCAAGTATCTGATCATTGAAAATCTAAAGCACCTCCTAGACATAAACTATCATCAACCTTTTATTAGAAGATTTTTTTCATCAAAGAGTGGCTTGACTTGCTGACTGTTTCCGCTGAATTGACTTGAGATTACAGTAACTGCTGACTGGGCGTCAGGAACTGTGACCTCCTATCAACCCAAATGAAAGCAATGAACTCAGCTTAAGTGTCTGCATCTGTCCTGCTATAGCGACGAAGGCAGGAAAAAAAGTATTCCCAGTTTACAGAGTTTAGGGGGAAAAAATGCAGTGAAACAAAAACCGTTGAGTCACTTGATGGAGGTTTGTTTTAGACCAGATCTGTAACTGCTGCAGCTTTGGAAAGAGTAAGTTTCTGTCTGAGGGGATATACAATTCAAAATATATGATTATCTTAAAAAGCGATATGCGCGATTGATATTTTTATGTTAAATTAAAACAGAAAGCAGACAGAGACAGACGCATTAAAAGAAATCAACAGAGAGACCATTCACAGCTCCAGATGTTCAACGATCTCACTTAGATAGCAGCTATGGCATTCATGTGTCACTCCTGTGCTGTACCATGTGGTATTTCCATGGTAGTTATATATAGTTTATATATACTGTATATGTACCACCACCATACAACATGGTATGGGGGACATAACGTTGTGTGAACACAGGGTCAGTAAAGGTCAGATTTTCATAGAGTTGTACATTTTCATTTCTTCAAGCTTTAAGACACATTTCATACATAGAGTGTTATATTTGTTCAAGAATGCATTAATCTATGTTTTTTTCTCAGTGTCTTTCCATCAGACCATCAGACCAGTGGCAGTCCAGTCCTCATGACCTCTGTACATGTGGTGGACTACAAAACCACCATCAGTGTTGTGCTTCAGAAAGCTCCCGTATGAATAGAAGGAATCGTAGCAGCTATGAGGCCTTCAGAGTTGCTGGTATAAATATGTTGTGACGACAGGTCACACGTCATGTATGCACTAGATCATTTATAATAAACACGGGAGGACAAGATGCCCAATTATTCTCTGACTGGGAGTACTCTTTAAGCTAAAATACTAACGATTTACTAAACAAATGGAAATATTTTCTGATATTCTTGTTTTTTCATGACAACAAACTGAATATCTTAGTAGTTGTTCAGACAAAACAAGACATTTGAACATTTTTCACAATTTGCTTGTAGACCAAAAGACTATTGTTTTTTTTTTATACATGCATACAAACAAATGTAGATATATTCTGCTGTTTTGCAATGTTGACATACAGCCAAACATAATGTCCTCACACCCTCACCTATATCATAGAGCTCACCTTATTGAGGTGTGGGTTTCTGGTGATGTCATAGCCCCGCTTCTTGGTACTAGTGCTGCCCTTGCGACTCGTCCCGGAGTGGCAGACCCGCACAGCCTGGAGAGAGGCCCTGTCGGCGGGCACGCCACCAGCGGGGTGACCCGGGGCACCGGCGAAGACCCTCATCCCGCCCGCCGCTGCCGTGCGCCTGCACAGAGACAGCGCGGCTCTTCCTGGGAGCGAGTTCATGCTGTCTGCGGGGACAACAACGTGCAGTGAGTGTCGGTCGCACCCACCTTCCAGTTCACAAAACGGACGCTCGACCTAGAAACGCCACACATGCCGCCGGGAATAGTACAATATCCTCGTGCAACGTAAACAACCTGCTTCAAGTGTGAACCTGAACCACAGCTATCTGTGTACAAGCTGAGTCACAGTGCTGCACAAGTGTCACAGAAACCAGTCTTGTTCGTGCAAATAAATATAATATATCATGATTCAGCCGATGGTTTCATTATGTTCGTATTTACATCTTGCTGTAGCAGCTAAGCTAGCTACTGTTAGCTGCTTCTATCATAACTAAGCGTTTCTTTATGCGACATTCTGCGCAGCTAGCTAGCGTGTGGCTAACATTCAGATAGTCTTACCTGAAGACGGTGTGAAGCTGCTGGGCGTCTGACGTATATCTTTGCCCGGTGATCGCGGTAGCTATCTGTGGGGGGGGATCGACAGCGAACAGCTAATCCAGGACCCTATGACTTTGACGATCTCACTTCCCCGCTGAAGGACCAATCAGACCACAGCATGGCGGGCCCACAGGCCCAATCCCCCACCTCTTCAGCTTCATCATCTCTAAATTACTCTGAATGAAACATAATTGTCTTTGAATATATATAATTTAAAAAAACTTGCCTTTATGCTATTATGATTACTACATTTGCAATACAACATTGGCACTGTTTAAGTTCCATAGAAAACATTGCTGTGGAAAGAAAAGAAAAGGACATTTTTCATCTTTTAGTCATGCACTAACACAAACACCACTGAACTCAGTCCGTACAGTCTGCAGATCTTATTAATAGCATCTGGTTCACCCTGCTGGCAGCAAAGCTTTTCTTCTTACTCAGACTTGAATGAGTCTTGAGTGTTATAGTACGGTCATGTCTGGTTTAACCTGTTATGATTCCCCTGGGGCAAAAGGTTGCTGTTGTAAGTTCTTATGACGTGTGCTGTGTATAAGCTATTATTGTTACTATTTATAAAGGTATGAATGGCAGCTTCACTGTGTTTTGCCCTGAGCCACAGGAGTCATTAGACTGCATTAGTTTCAGCTGGATGTACATGAATCAACTGGCAACTAAATGTAACATGTAGCCTACTACATTGTTTCTCTAATGGGGGTAGGAGTACCCCTAGGGGTACATTGGAATACTGCAGGAGTACGTGAGATTAAAAAAAAGTTTATTTAAAAAATATCAGTCATTTTCAAATGGTCAACTTCCATAACGTTTGTTCAGCAACGTTGTATTTCAAAGGGGGTACATCATTGAAAAAGTTTAAGAACCACTGGCCTACAACACAACTATTAACCTACATCTTTACCATACATGAAAAACAAGCTGTCCATATTTGAATATAGGCTAACATTAGCGTAACTTATGTACAGAAAACATAAATGTACATCTAAACATAAGCCAAACAAATCTTTATGTACAGTTCATCAATATTTAGTACACCCCTCCAGCCAAAACCAATTTAAACTTTCTGATCAGAGCACAACATCCTACATCAAATTCAAATTACCAGTTTAAAGTCTTGGATTTTATGTTGTCCCTATATGGTTCGAGTTGAGTTAATTTCTTCTATGAGTTTCTCTCGGTGTCAATTAGTTTGATCGTAGTTTGATGAAATGCTACTTTATTTAGGATTGTGCACCATGTGAGCAAAATAAAAGCAAAAGTTATCTGATTTTATGAGTACATTTTTGCACGAGAACCCAGTTGATATTTTATTTTAGTGGTGCAAATTCCCAGATAATCTTGCAGGAAGTGAAATTAGCAGCTACCCCTGGAAGTCCGGGGGACAGTTAATAATTCATCTTTAGGAACAGCCTTTTGATTTAAGTTATCATTTTGGTTTGTTTGGGACCGACAGATTGATCGAGCAATCTATATAACGTATAAAAAAATATATAAATATCCTTCTTCCCACTAGCTTTATGTAGAAAGGTTTATTTAAAACATTCATTCATGAAAATCCCAATTATGTCTGTGTTGATCATTCAATAAACTCAGTAAGTCCACCAACTCTGTCCATCTTCATACAACACACTTTATATCGCTGTCTAATGATGTTATTATGGGTGAAAGGTAAAAAAACGACACTTTAAATAGTACAAGAAATTATGCAAAATTTTGAAAATATATTCAAAAAAAAAAAAACCACACACACTGTATCTGTCTCACACATTACGTGTTCACAATGAACCTAAATAACCCAAAGGATCTCACAGTATGCAACATTCTGCTTGTTGAAACTGTTGAACATTTATTTAAAAAACACACAAAAAAGATACTTCCATCCATCACCAGACACAAATTACACCGCTTAAAACAGCTCGGACAATAATCACACATGGGCTTCATAACATCTGCAATTCAAAGGCACAAATGAACAGCTTTCCTTCATGCATACATGATAGTTTTTGTTACACTAACATACAGTGCATTCAGAGTAAAAGTATATCCATACAGTACATTTTCATGACTATTACATTTCACAACAACTATATTCTTGCAGGCTGATTGAACAGATGAAAGTACCTACTGTTTGTCTTCATTTTCACCGTTCTGGAAACATTCAAGAACAAGTACAAGAAAAAAAAAATAAAATAGAAATGCTTCAGATGACTACGCTGGTGCCGCTACGGGAACTTCTATCCTAAGAGAGAAAAGTGACAGAGGGGGAGTAAGGTTAAAGACGTAGATATCATGATTCAATCCCAGTGGTGGAATGTCACAAAGTACTTTTACTGAAGTAACCTACTGTACTTGAGTGAAGTGCAATTATGTCACATTGTAGTCACATTTTACGCTACATTATTCTTATACTCTACTACATTTCAGAGATAAATGTTATTTTCACTGAACTACTTGTATTTGACAGTAGTTAATGTTCATTTTTACATTAAAAACATGTTAAGCAGTACTATACGACTAATCTACCTAGTAGTATACAAAGTACCTACAATTGTCTCCACATTGACATAGTACAACATTAAAATGCTCTTACATGTATTTGTTAGTGATAAAAAAAAGAATATACTTTATATTATTTAAGTATATTGAAATGAGCAATTCTGCATTATGAGTAAATTTACTTTTGATACTTAATGCACATGTTGCTGACAATACTTATGTACTTTAAGTACTCAAGTAAAGGATGTGAGGACTTTTTCACCAATAGTCAATGTACAAAAGCAGAAGAAAAGATCAAAATAACAAAGAAGTAAAAAAAAAAAAAAAAAAGGTGATGAAAGAAAGAAGTTAATCAGGAATAAAGCTTTAAGTCTACAGCCATGCTAGCAGCGCTAGGGGTGTTTTGAGCTAAATGCTAACTACAGCGTGCTAACACGCTCACAATGACAATTTTAACATACTGATGTTTAGCAGGCGTAATGTTTACACGTTCACCATCTTAGTTTAGCATGTTAGCATGCTAACATTTGCTAATTAGCACTAAACGCAAAGTACAACTGAGGCTGATGGGAATGCCTTTAGTTTCGCAGGTATTTGGTCACAAAGCAAAGTATTGGACAACTTACAAATTGTGACCCAACCTCATCGTGGCCAAATAGAAGTTCTTACATTTTAGCGAATGGGGACGTGAATGTCTGCACAAAATGTAACAGCAATCCAACAAATAGTTGTCAATTATGATCAATTTCACTCTGGGCCAAAGTGCTTGACTGACCGCATGGCTAAAAGTGATGAAGGAAAGAAGCCATAGCTAAAAAGTAACAGGAGACAGAAAGCAATGAACCAAAGAGATGAACTCATCAGACCATTGGTTTAGAGCTGACATCAGTATTTGGATCTTACAGAAAGGCGGTCGTAGTTCCTCTGACCGTTACTACGTCCTGGCTGGTTCTCGATGGAGAAGTAGCTGGGGGGCTTCTCAGGCCAATCCTTCCCTTTACCTCCTTTCCTTCCGCTGCTGTCCTCATCTGAGCTCCAGGATCCTTTGCGACGCTGAGGAGGCGAATAGCTCCTCTCCCTCCGAGCTGCTCTGCTGTGTAGCTCCTCCATCAGGTCGTCGCGACTACGAGTCCGCGGTCTGGAGCCACCTCCTCTCCTCCCGGCCGAGCCTCCTCTCTTGTTCCTCGAACTCCTGTGTGGCGCTCCTGCTCGCCTGTTCTCCCATTCGGAGTCATCGCTGTAATCGCGCAGGATCCCTCGTCTGGGTGGAGAGACGTCCCTATAGCCACGACTGTCGCGGGGGAGACCGCCTCCGGGGTGGTTTGTACTCCCACTGGACTGGCTGGATATTCTGGGACCACCTCTGCCTCCACCACCAGGCCCCCTGCGTGAGGAAAAGCTGGGTACCCGCTGGATTATAGGAGGCAGGGTGATCACCCTTCTCTCTACCCCTCTCACGCCCATCTCATCCAGGGCTGACAACATACTCGGGGGCCCTGGTGTGTAGGGAACTGCTTGAGGAGCCGGGTGAGGCTGTAATGGGAGCATATTTTGGTGAGCGTATGGAACCGTTTGAAGTGCTCCCACATCCAGCCCCCTCACCTGATTTTCCAGATAGTCCAACACCTGACCAGTGCCACGATTGCTGCCATGCACACTGCCGTTCAAGTGGTGTGGATGAGGAGGAGGCTGATGCTGATGCTGTTGCTGATGCTGTTGCTGTTGCTGTTGCTGATGCTGATGGTGCAGGGCCATGGGTGACAGCTGCATGGGAGCCATGGCAAAGTTTTGTTTGGTGGGGTAGTCAGAGTACGAGCCTGGAACAAAAGTGACAGACAGACATGAATAATCTGCACCAGCTGACTATTGGCCACAGGGAGGCACCAGAAACAAGCTGTAAACACAACATTGATACATTTTCATCTAACAAAATTGATATGTTGTGAGCAAAAAGTTTCATATTTACATAGTCAGCAGTTAGGGAGTGTGAGGAATTTAAGTTTTAGAGCGCTCCTAATTATGGATATTATGTGATACAGTATATTTACTTAGAGGTTCTGGACTCAACAGGAGCAACATGTGTTTTGTTGTTCACTCACGACAGAAATACCTGACTCTATGGCTGCTAAATGCTCCACTATGTTCACCAGCTAGTCACTAAATGTGTCTCGTCTTGGTGTTGGACAGGTTGGGTAGCTTTGTTTTTGCTGTGGGAGTAGTAAAAGTTAACCAAAACTCTAGAGCTGAAGGTAACCAGTTTGTTAATTATTATCTGCAGCTTCATTACTAAGAAAAACTCACATTCAAGAAGTCATGTGATCAATTATTCATATACAAATATTGATTATAGCTGCTTTAATCGAGACAAGGCTTATTTTTTCACAGGGACTTTTCAATACTATATTATTATCTCCCCCATTTTTATAGTTTTAGTTTGATTTACTGACTAAAACCTGTTTTACACTCTCACCATCTAAGGCCAAAATCCAGATAAGAGAAGCTCACACGTAACTAAATGTTGCCATGAGTCGCATGCAGCACCATGTAGCAGCATTTTGCCCATCAGGCTACATACAGGCCGCCCTAACTAACTGTTGGAGAACAGGAAGATCTCCAAACACTACTTACCAATGACTCGGACCTTATCTGAATGTTTTAAGCTACTGAATCAGTAATTAAGTATTATCTTAATCACCTAAAAAGGTGCTAGAACTAAACAATCAATGAAAAATAAGGCAGACAGGACACTGCTTTTTTTCTAGTGAAGATTCAAAAACAGTTTGTACTTATTAAATAAGTTGGACTCTTATTGAAAGCACCAAAACCAGTTTCATCATACTGCGTTATTTGCTTGATATAAATAAAGGGAAGTCTTCTGTGTGTACTTTCTGTGTCCCTCACCTGAGTACAGTATGGGAACGCCCTGGGAGGAGGCGTTGGAGCTAATGGGAGCATAAATGGGTTGACCGTCCATCCAAGGAGTCATAGCCTTCTGAGCCTCTCGTATCATCCTGTGCTGCATCACAGCTGAAATGCAAAGAGCGGGTCAAAGGTTTGTGTGACTCGGTATTCACTTGGCAGACTTTCATATGTAGGCTTGAGCAAATACAAAATCTGCAAGAGACTAAATTTGATCACTGGATACATAGTTGTGTAAAATAATCAGTAAAATGTGATGTAGTTTATGGTTTTTATAAGGAGTACCTTTCTCCGGGCAGCAGCAAGTCTGTGGACAACACGGGCAGCGGACGTAGCAGCAGCACTTCTGCGGGCAGCACTGGCAGCAACATATGCAGAGGAGCATGATGAGCAGGAGAGCACCGATGATGATTAACAGGACGGTCAGCCAGTCTGGAACAAGTGAAAAGAAACATGATTACTGGTATTTCAATCTCGGAAAGTCTTTTCAGGCTCTGTGTGACCTCGAGTCGAGCGCCACAAGCTGCACTGAGGAAACTCACGGTAAACGATAAGTTTGATTTCACGGTCCGAGTCGCCCGTCGTGTCACCGGCAGCGTCGATGGTGCAGTAATACACGCCATTATCCCACCACATCACCTCATTGATGACCAGGTCAGCCTCTGTTCACAGACATAAGACAAGGATACTTGGGATTAAATTGTTCTGAACTGGATCACTGCAGTAAAATGGAAATACGAATATTCAAATAAAAAGATGTTCAAGACAACCACAACATATTTGCAATGGAATGCACTGATTGGCAAATAGTTCTTTGTTAACAGTATGTTCACAATCCAAACCATCTTAAATAATACATGCAAGTACATACATTTCCCTTATTTCTATACAAACATATGCAGCCTGTACAGTGTCTTAAAATGTAGTCATGTATGATTGTATTGACAGTTCAGACAGAAATACTGTATCAACATTGTGATGGGATTAAACTTACTGTTTTGAATGGTTATTTTGCGTATTCTGTATTCTGCACCCAGGGTGGGCTCATTAACGCCCCTCTTCTGGATCACAGTGCGGATAGTTCGCTGGCGGTCCGGGCAGTCGTTGGAGGGGTCCTGACCCAGCTGCAGAGCGGCCTGAAAGGCTTCAGGAATAGAGGAAAATACGATGAAATATGTTCAATTTATTGCATATTCTCTTTCTAACAGATCGGTCTACATCATGCAACTCAAACCATCATAACTGTGGCACATATTCCTTCAAAAAGTACAACAATCAGCTTTACTTTTTCAGCAGGTTAATAAAGCTGAATAATAATTGAATAGCAATTAGCTCAAAAAATGTAAATCACCATGTTTGTGTGTGTTGCTGCTGCTTCAAAGTTAGTGCATGCTTAATAATGTCATGCAGCCTCACCTGTGGAGTAGTACTCCAGCACCGGGTCTTTACAGAAGGACTTGAACCTCCAGGTGACCAGCACATCCTGAGGGTTTGCTGAGGTCGAGTAGTCACAGCGAAGGATCACAGAGGCAAACAGAGTCGTGCTCCTCTCCGTCTCTGGAACAATCACCTGGATGGACAGCAGCTCTGATAAAAACAACAACAAAGTGTAATGTAAAATAACAGCACCCACGATGACACAATATATCAATTCATTGTAACCTTTTGTGTGTTTGTGTTGCAGCTTTGCTCCTGAACGTTGGATGGATAAGAATCTCACCAAACTAACAGTTTACAACAGAAGTCATTAAGTGTGCACATATTGTACACTCTCATTGGAAGTAATACCACTTGTCAATCACGATCAGCAATGTAGAGTTGACGAAAACAAGCTGATGACAGGCGACCTCTGCTAATTGAGAAAAGTAGCAGTTAAGGTTTGACTTCAAACACTTTCTCTTTGAAATAGTTGTTCAATGTGAAAGAGATGAATGAATGTCAGTGAGTGTCCGACATGTGCTGGCAGTTTTTCTCAGTTGATTTATGTCTTGAAATACATACAGTAGATAGATTAGGGCTGCAACTAACAACTATTGTCATTATTGATTAATCTTAGTGAATTGTTTGATACATTAAAAGCCAGGAAAGTGTAAAAAAAAAGTTGACATCTATAAATTGCTTGTCCCAAAAAATTCCAAACAATTGTAGAGGATATTTTTGAAAAGCTGAGAAAATGTCTGCTTTAGTGTCACTGGTTCATTTAAAAAAAAAAAAAAATTTTTTTTTTTTTTACAATTAATCGAGTAAGCTTCTTCTCTAAGCCACAACATCACATCCTGACATCATGATGTACATCCATAACCCAGCTGTGTGTATTTTATCCAATTGTAAATAACTTGAGCTTTATGCTTTTTGCCTTTATTTACTGAGAATACAACATTAAACTGAACAAACAACTGGGAACATATTCTATGAACCACCCTGTCCAAAAAACACAGACATGTAAACATTTACAAAACTGAACTGCAGGTTCTATTTGATGTATTATTTCAGCTCCACAGCAGATTAAGCGATAATAACATATTATGTCCTCATCAACATTTGCTTTCCAAAACCGTTTGATGTATATTTAATGCTGTCTTCTGTAAAAACGAGGCTGTTTCCACTGTGTGAACTGTTTGGATGTTTTGTATTTTGGACAAGTTGTTAAGCAGACCTATTACAGTGTGCAGTCACGTGACCAAAGTCGGCCTTGTCCTATTTCCACCTGTTGATAATTAACTTGTACACATCAGTTAGTTTCGACTGTTTGCTTAAGTGGCTTCACCTTAAATTCCTGCGCTTACGCTGAAAGTAAAGCCAATGCTACTTGAATAAAGTATAAATGTTGAGGACAAAATGTGTTTCCTTTAACGCCTTTAAAGCCTCACCTGTTGGCAGGTGAGCCAGCAGAAGCGCCATCAGTATCATATTTCCCATCGCGTCGCTCTTCCTCCCTCCGCGGAAGCTTCGCTCTCTATCCCGTAGGAGACTCAAAATCCGCCAGAAATCCGGAATATTTGGAGAAAAACGTTTTGCATCCGTTGCTCAGCATACTGTTCTTCACACTCGAGACGACATGCTAGTGAGGCTGTGTTTGTTCTCTGAGGTGGAAGACGAGTGTTTACAGTCGAACTGAGGAACAAGTTGCTTACAGAGAGAAAGAGAGAGTCGGAGGCGGATCATCCCCCTCCCCCCTCCGGCTTCAGGTGACATCATTGACCCCGCCCTCTCTGACAGGTGTAACATGGAGGAAATAAAAAGAGGAGCAGGAACAACAAACAGAAAAGATGTTTATGTTTTCCAAATCAGTAGTTTGAGTCTTCCACAAACAATCCCATTTTTTAGTAAGTCTCTTCTTTTGTAGTATGACATTTGTTAGGACAAGTAACAATGGAGAAACAGTTCGGTTAGCAAATTGCTAATTAATTAATTAGTTCTCCTCTGTGTTTTGATGAGTTCATTGACCCTTATGAGTTTCATGGCAGATGCAAACATTCTTTATGTGAATGTTAATATCCAGTCCATCAATCTTAAGGTTTGCTTCAACCCAGTTGAATCAAAAGGAGTGAAGCCTGCATAATCTGAATGAAGTAAAAGAACAGGTCAGCTCGTCTGATGGCTTTCATTTATTTGTTTGCGGCAAACAGCCCCTGAATGTATAGTTCCCTCTCGCGATGAGTCATATTATCCGAGCTCTTTGTGTGAGGATGTTTACAGCCTCTCATCCAGGAGGTGGACCCCAGCTTGCTTTACTGTTGACACAAAACAAGCCCGCCCGAGCTGAGCTCGAGTGCCGCTCTCAGCTCACTGAAGTGCTCTTGAAATCCTGAGAAAAATGCTGCGTTCATGAAAAGCTTTGCCATCACATCTGTGGCTGGCTCAACTCTGAACCTGGAGACAGGCCAGTTTTTCAAATGCCTCCCTTGTCAGTATCAGGGGAGGACGTATCTTTGATTTTCTGTGGCTTGCTATCCAGTATGTACAAAACATTTACCCTGTACTTTGGCAGGCTGTGTTTTAAAGCGTTAACAAATGTTCTTCTGTTTTGTTTTTGATCAACATTGAGTCTCAATTTTGCTAGAAATAAACATGCCAGAATGCCTGATGTTCCACACCAGAGTCAGAAGATGAGAGATTGTTGGCTTGTTGATATCATTACTGAAGGGATCTACTGGGTACCTAGGCACCTGGGCCTGAGCTTCTGTATTAAGCGTTAACATTTCTTATTGGAAAGTCAATCAAAGGACTATAAAGAGTCACAAAACTACTACAAAGAAAAGCAAAAAGACTGTAAAGGGTTGCAAAATGACCATACAGAATCACAAAACGACCATAAACAGACACAATGTAGCAACACGTAGTTCTTCCCTAAATGTTAATGGTTATAATGATGTGCCATTTAATACTTTCTGTAAACATTTTAAAGCTGCACACATGCTTTACACGATGAAGTGTGCTGATCGTGTGTAGTTCTGCCGATGGAGGTTGTCATTAAAGCTCGAGTGTTTGTTTAGTTGTGTATGTTTGATAAGCTTCGATAAGAAACACACTGGCTTTATCCGAGGTACAGTACACACACACTTTATCACACATATGGTAAAACACAATAACCACTCAAACATCAGATTCTGCTGCAGACAGTGTTGTTATGTATGTTATATCAAAATCAATTTTAACAAAACAATTGAAACACAGATAAATGCAAGCAGTTTGTGTTTCTCTGTGGAGAGCGTGGAAGTGTTGAGAACAAATTAACACGAAAATAAAACACTGAATTTACACTCCTGAAAAATTGTTCCTAGATAAACGTAACTATCATCCCATCTGAGTTTATACTTGATCCCCTTATTTGGAAAATAAAAGAGTTAAGACACAGAAGTCTGCTCTGCAACATATGATCTATAAATATATATAAATATGAAACTGCTTGTGTACAGTACGACACTTTCATGACATATTTCCTCTTCTGTATTACGTGACGTGTCTTATTTCCTTCTCATTTCATTGATTAGTTGATTGACTGGAAAAAAAATGAATCAAATCATGGTTTAAGCAAAACTGCTAAACATTCTGTTAGCATCTGCTTATTTGGGATGATTTGCTGCTTTTCCTTGTCTTTTGTGTTAATGAACCAAATATCTTTTGGTTTAAAACAGTTTGTCACACATTTAAAAATCTCAATGTTTTGGCATTTCTCACTATTCTCTGACATTCTATAGACCAAATGATGGAAGTTTAAAATGATCATAAGCTGCAGTCCGTTTATCTTGGCCAAGATAAATGAACATAGATTCATTAAGAGCGGAGACTTCTTTGAGTTTTCTTTATTGAAAAAGTATTTAAGCAGTGCAATAAAAAAAATCTGCAGAACAAATTCAAGGTACAGTACTTACATACAGTACAATATCAACAACAGACAAACACACAAATACAAAGTGAACCTGAGTTGCAATGTACTGAGTGAGAAGTGTGAAGTCTGTAGGAAAATATAAGACTGTGGCATCCTGCAGATACCAACAATTGGCAGATAATGAAAATAAAAAAAACATCTTGGCACTGGTGTCACTCAACTCAACAAATAAACACATACATAACATCTGTACACTACATGTGAAGAAATACCCAGATTTAATTCATGCACATTAGTAGAAACGTCCTGTATGAGTGCACATTCATTTCCAAGCATTTTCGATCCACCACTGCTGTTTTTTTTGGTGCAGTTATTTTCAGTGAGCGGAGCCAGACTTGACGTGGCTGATGGCAGAACCGTTAGCTTCTCCTGTCTAGCAACAGGACGGTTTAAACGAACGGAGTGGCCGTGCTGTGCAGGTGGAGGCTGGGAAAACTTGTCACACTATGAGAGAGTCCCTGCTCAGCGCAGTGCTCTGTTAAAGAAATACACCGAGAGCCACACGTTAGACACTTTGCACTCATGCTCGTGCGAGGTTACTCTAGTCTGGTGCCTCAGATTAGTCACAGAAATCATGCAGCTCAAGCCGTGTTAGTATAGCAAAGACTGTGATGCAGGTGGGGGTTTTCTATAATTAGTAAGTTAGTAAGCGTTTGTAACACTGTGAATGTTGCAAGAACAACCAGATTATACTGTGCATTTTTGAGTTAAATCAAAAGCGTTGTTTGCAATTGCAAATTTATGCAAAAAATATCAAAGATAAAATCATGTCGGAACTAAAATGATATTGATTCAGTGTTAAGACCATTAATCGTGTATGTACATTGCACAAGAGACAATCAAATGATTTACATAATACTGTCAAACATTTCAAATGTCTAAATACAAAGCTGGCGTTATTCTTTTTTATTCTAGTCGTCAACAAATCCCATGAAAAGACCAAAAACAATACCGACAAAACTGAATTAATTATATGTTTTTTGACTTTTCATGGGATTTGTTGACAATGTGAAAAACAGAGAATAGACAGACTTATCGGGTAACTATTTACAGGATTTAGAGGCTCTTTCCTGAGGAGGAGGAAGGAAGTCCTTGTTCCTGCTACAAGTAACTCACCAGGTTTCTGCTCCTGTCTTGCTCCTCTCGGCCCCCCTGCTGGAGTGTATGGGACATTCCCTGGTGGGGGCGGGTGTAACAGAAAGGCCTCATGGTGGGGTCAGTGGTCCTGTATAGCTCTGATCTGGGAGGCTCTGCAGTGCGGTACCGGTCCGTGGTCGGGTCAGCCCTGCGGTACCGCTCTGCCTCCCGCTCAGAGTACGGAGGCAAAGGGTCCTCCTCCTCTGGACGGTTGCTGGGCGACCGGCTGTAGTAACTATCCTTTCCCCTGGAGCTGCCTTTAGAGGGAGTGTCACTGTCCTCGTCCGGTCTACAAGCACCTCTGTCCCTTCCACGCCCCCTGGTCTTGCTGTCCAGCACACTGCTGAGGAAGGCGTCATCGTATCCTTTGCCTTGGGGCGGTCGACCGGGACGATCACTGTCCCATGTGTCCCTCCTCTTCTGTGGTAAAGGGGAGGGGCTGCGGCGGACCCAGCCATCATCTTCATCTCTGTAGAAACGCCTGGGAGGGCTGTAATCCCGCTGGTAGACCCGGTCTGGAGGCTCAGCGCGACGACCATGGGAGTCGTAAGACTGGGCGAAATCCTCCAGCTCGTCCAGGGAGCCGGTGCGCCCTCTTCTGCCCAACGTCTTCCTCTGCAGGTGCTCTGAGTGGGGGTTCCGCCTACAGCCAGGAAGAGCACACAACTCAGCACACAGAGTTTGTATTATAATAATAATACATTTGTATTTATAGAGTGTTTTTGACACTCATACATTTTACATAAAAAATGTAGGTTAGAAAAAATCACCTTGAAAACTAAAACACAAATGCAGGTCATAAAATCAAACATTAAAAGCAGCTATAAAAATGTTTTTGATAGCTTGATGAGCGATAGGAGGTTGGTGTGAAAGGAGGTACAGCAAATATATGCCTGTAATATCTTCCTTCAACGCCAGATATTGAAGCCAATAAGAGTGATGGGGTTTACATGGAAAGATCCCATGTAATGGGCACTTTAGCTGCCCGGTAACTGGCTTCTGCCAGTAAAACACTTCATCCACAGTGGTGACCTTTCCCTTCTCAGCACATAGACACATGCATGCACTAAATAACACCGTAATTATACCTTCTGTCGAGCTCATCGTCTGAGTGGTTGCCTCTGTCCCGTCTGGGCCTTCGACTCTGTGCAGGTGGAGCTGCTCTCATCACTGAATGGTCGTCGAGGTCTGGGATGGGTGGGAGCGCCTTCATCTGCACCGTCTGATAGGTGTGTCTGAAGTCTGTAGTCCCTCCATCATGAAGAGAGCTCAGCTCTGAGAGGCTACTGGCTGTTGGCACAGACACATCAGCGGAGCGGCATTTGCTATTTTCATCATGAAATTCATTTGGAAAATATTTTTCTGTAACCCGACACTGGAATACACAACTACAGCTGTGAAAATGATGTAATGGAACATTTCAGAGCAAGATGTGGTCTGCTGGAAGTGCTATGTAGGTGTTTGGGGTAAGAGCATAGTAAATGAGTTGGCTCTGACTATATAATCATGAGCACTGATTATAGCTGACTGCAGATTACTGAGTGCAGAAATGTCTCATGTGCCACCTCAGACTTATGTCACAAACAATTTAGATGACAAGTCTGGTATTATTATTTGAGGCCCCTATGTTTTCAACAAATCTTACCAAAACCTCTAACAACTTTGCATGTGTAGCCAAAGCCTGATATAGCTTATTTATCTGTTATAGACCTCAAATGATGTGCAAAAACTATAAAAACACATCAATCAATCAATGTTTCTCCAATAAACACAGAAAGTTAATCCCACATAAGACGTCCTCCTGTCATAAATTCCCTCTAAAGCACTAAATGTGTATTAATCCACCGCTGAAAATAGTCCTATTTACTCCTGTTTCAGTAACTTCTACTAAAAACTACAGTGCCAAGCTGTTTTGGGAAATTACTGAGTCTTTAAAAATGTAAATAAACTTAAGATCTGTGACCTGATTTTAGATATCTTATATGTTCAGTTGGAACCAGTGGGCTTGGGGCTGAGAGACAGACAGGCTAGGGAAGACAGTAAGTGTTGAGAGACAGACTAATGATTTGGTGACCAAGCAATGTTACTTAAATGTTTTCTCTTGTAAGTGACTGTGGTATAATCCCATTCATTACACTTTGAGATGTCCTGACAACTTAATCAACTAGGGATGGGCAATATAATGATATGTACCGTGAGACTATATACGTTTGACCCACTGTTTACCGTTTCTACTGTGTACGGAGGCTATCCCTTTAATACTGTATCTTTTGGGGTATAAGACCAATGTTTCAAATCAATGGGCAGAAACACGGTTTTCTCATCTAAGCAAGGACAGTTAGATGTTATGAAATGAATGTAAGGATGACACGAAAACAAGCTCTTGTTCATTTACACAAACCATGCACATGAAACACATTCACATGAACACTGTTACACAGCCACACAGATGACAGACACTGGCCTAATCTGTGCAGGCTTACGTTTATATGCAGCCGACTTGGCCGAGGGAAAATGAGCCAGGTCCTTCTCAATGTAGTACAGAACTTTCATTGAGTCCTGGTCTGGACTGGCTTTCAGTCGATAACCAATGCGGGCTGTGGATGTGGACACACACACAGTACGTACACACACAGGGACATAACTATGCAAGGACACACAGATATACATGCAAGCGTCCAATGCACGTTGTTAAAAAGGACAAACTAACTCAAATAAGTTAAGACAGCATTTAAATAGCAAACATGCATGAGGCAGACAGATATTTCTGTATCTTCTAGGTTAGAGACGGACTCGAGGATGAGGGGTGATCGATGAAATGAGGGTTAGTCAAGTCAGTGTATCTGAAAGGAAATAAGACAGAGCTACACCTTATAAATACTCACCTCCAGCCAGGTTATTCTCCACTGAGGGGATGGAGGCGATCTTTGTCTCCACATGGGAAGAAGGGGCAAGAGGAACAACAGTAGGAACACCAGGGATGTAGTAGGGATACACAGGAACCTGAGCAGGCAGTCCACTCTTCGCCATCTTCCCTGCCTCGTACACTGCACAGGAGAACAACAAAACGGTGAGTGACTGTCAGGTTGATACTGAGAACGTACGGGGACGTTGTAGTGTATAAAGACAGTTTGCGTTTCTCACAGTGTCGTGGACAGCAGCAGGTGTCAGGACAGCAGCAGCAGCTGACGTAGCAGCAGCAGGAGTGAGGACAACACTGGCACCAGCAGATCCCCAACAACAACAGGAACAAGATACTGCCCAGGACGACAGATCCGACAAACACCCACTCTGGAATATAGAGACACATTATTCTTCGCATTTTTGTTAGACATGATAGGATTCAGTTAAAGGTATTACACAGACTACATTATCTCAATGATAACTTTGCTAAAATGTATCCGTCCTCATGACCTCGATGTAACAACTGTATTTCTCTTCCTCATATGTTTTGATCCCTCAGTAGTGACTATAAGGAACTTTAAATTTGTGTTGATTTTAGCGGCCCCGATGGACAAAAGTGGTCATGTTCCCAGCACCTGATTCCCTTTAGAAAAACTATTTTTTTTTTTACTGCAGCAAGGTCTGACAGTGTGCCCTGTTGCTCCTAGCAATACAGCCAGGGTCTCCAGCAGCGTGGTGTCAGTGTTGGCTCCCAGCGGTGACCGGCAGAGCAGCGAAGCTCTCCTAATGGAAGGAGGAGGAGGCGCTGCTGACCGAGCATGGAGCCTCTCCTGCAGGAATCAGGCTCGGTTGCACCGATGACAAGCATTAAGAATAACGATATAGAAATAGACAATCTTCTATCTGTGGTCTCATTTACTTACGAAGGTCATATAGAACATTGGTAATAATTGAGACTGTTTCATAACCAGTTAAAAGTTCTTCACAGTAGTTTTAACTTTTGCACTTTAAAATGTTGTTCTTTCTCCGTTTTAGACAACACACACGGATCTGACAAACCCTCTTCCTTTAAAATGCGGGTACGATAGGTGACAGATAATGCAGTACTATACCTAAAAAGTCTAAGAGGACAAGAAATATGAGCAGTCGGATAATAAGAAACTAATGAACTGAGGTTAATTTGGAAGAAAAAAATAAAGACGAATGGTAAGATTATTACCCAAAACCTCCACTGTAGAAATTCATCACAGATTAAGTTCGTGGTTCAACTTTAACTTGCTGTAAAAGCCAAAGTTGTCTTATGCCATGAGAAGTTATTACAGACATTTTAGGTGCCCTCACTTCTAAACTGATCATTCGACCACTTGTATTTCTTGCCCATTGTTGGAGCACGACAATGTTAAAAACTACACAAATCATAACCAAGTTGTTATAAGCCATGCTGATGTTTCTGTCATCCCTTCAATGAGACCTCAGAGCATTTAAAAAAAAAAAGGACACTTCAGGAAAACTCAAGGGAACAGTGATTGACTCTTATCCATCATCACATCTCTAAAGTATCCAGACCCTAACAACACACTTCCTCAGGGTGTGCCCAAAAGCCAAATCCACTCAAAACCCCTCGCTAAGTCAACACACATCCCCTGTGGAGTTTACATCATGACCAGGATAAAAGATAAAAAATGTGAGTCTAGGAGTTTCTTCTTTATGTAGCTTCAATAACTGACTGTTTATAGTTTCAGGTTGGGTTGGACTCGACTTTCTGTACATTATTCCTCATTTTCATTAATAACGGCGTAAACATGGGCTTGTGAATTTTGTTAGTAATGGAGAGTTTTGATTGGTTGGTGAGAATTAAATGTAAGGAAGCAATAAGGAAGCTAGAAGATGACAGGCAGTGAGACGAAAGTGCAGGTGAGGTGCCGTACCTGGCATAATCTCCACATCAAACTCAGGTAGGATATCGTCCTGCTGACCTGTCCTGCCTGCAGAGAGAGGGAGAGCACAGGTGAAGGCCGGCAGAGGAAGCAGAAAGCAAGAGTCAAAAGGTCAGCAGAGTGGCTGTTTAATGTTCATTGACTAATTGAGGAACTGAAGGGACAAAGTTTTTACATAAATGTCTTGTCTTACATGCTGTCATGAGGATATTTTTTAGCCATGCTAGCAGCGTGGCTCGAGGGATGGTAATGTTGGGGTACACACATAAATGCCTCCCTGAAGATGAATTATAATAACTTAATTTCTTTGCTAGTGCCATCACCAGGTCTAAATTAGAATCTGCCCAAAGTTTCATTTATGACCAAATACCTGCTAAACTAAAGATATTTATAAGCCTCAGCTTTATTTTGTGTTTAGGCTAATTAGCATGCTAACATTCTAAAATAAAATGGTAAAATGGTGAACAATATATATGCTAAAAATCATCATGACGTCATTGTGAGCATGTTAGCATGCTGACATAAGAGTTTAGCTCAAGTGCAGCTTCACATAGCAGCTAGCATGACTTGCCATCACATGGATCACACTAATATTATTTTGGTGTCAAAAGTTTATGCTCATAAAAAATGATGCTTGGAAGTGTTTAAAAATAAAAATGCTAACCAGTAAACATGAACATAAGTCATGTAAGTCAGAGTTCAGAGTTCAAAATACACTTTACTAATTTTAGCAGGAGGCCAGCAGTGCTATATTTCTTCATTGAGCTGCACGGCATGCATGTGCCTCTCTAGTGGAGTTAAAACTGCTCACAAATTAATCTACACACATGCAACATGCATACAGTCACACACGCACACACACACACACTCACACACACACACACACACACACACACACACACACACACACACACACACATTGAGAGGTTCAATGAGAGGCAGTGTATGAGGACAAAGAGGTTTTTTTGGAAACTGGGGCACATTCTAGGAGAACAATTTAGCATGGGAGCCCATCAAAAGAGGTCACGCAAGTTTATACGGTTGTGACACAATATCTCTTTTGTGCTTTACATACAAGATAAACAGGTAAAAAAAAAGAAATATTCAAGGCAATTGGAAAACTGTAAAATAGAGAAAATAAAGGGGCTGCGACAGGTGTGCTGGGACTGAGACACAACTGCAGGTGTTCACGTTATATCGTGAGGTGTCAGAGGACTATAATTAAAGACCAGTCACTGTCTGATCTGTCTGACTGCAGGGATAGACTAAACACCCTCTGGCTCCAGAGTGTGCTGAGTAGACTGTTACTATGGAGGGGTGAAAAAAACAGTGTAACCTTTCCACCTGATAAAAAAAGTAATCTTGGTTCCCTGGCACGTTCATCAACATACCATGAAGCTCAGTAACACTGAGTAACCTGAGAGAGCCGAGGAGCTATGCAGCCCTGAGAGGTTGCGAGGCAGTGAGAGATGCAGGAAGGAGTAATGGAGGAGCACAGGAGAGGAACTTGCGAGAAAAAAAGAGAGCGCAGAGGGAGAAAAATCAATCCAAAAGAAAAACTAAAAGAGAGATTAGGGAGATGATGGGGAAGAAACATCGCAACTTGTTGCTTATTATTTTGACATTTTAGAAAATAGCTGATGTGCTTGCTTGCTAAGAGTTTGGTGACTGACATGTCGGTATGGTAAATATGGAGCTGGAGCCAGCAGCTGGTTATCTTAGCTTAGCATAAGGACTGGAAACAGGGGGCAACAGCTAGCTGACACAATAAAACTATTTTGTTAACTGCGTACAAAATGACTAGTTTAAAATCATCAATTTGTGTTTTTTACGGGAGGTTATGTGCAGACTATTTACAGTTAAAACAAACAAAATATAATGTGTATAGTTAAGTATTAGTAAGCTGGTATTTTGTTACTTTCGAACAGCGCCAAGCTTGCTGTTTCCAACCCTTTATTGCTGAATTAAACTAAGCTAACTGGCTGCTGTCAGTAGCTTGATATTGAACAAGCAGATATGAGAGTGGTATCAATTTCCTCATCTGATTCTCTGAAACAAAGCAAAAAGCGAATTTCCCAAAATGGCAAACTATTACATTTTGGTGTATAAAATTGGTAAATTTGTGAGATCTGAAAATTTAAGGAAACGCTAATCTGGCACTGAAGTGGTTTTACACACTTTCTAATTCCAGTGTCTTCATTGCAACGTGGCAAAACCAAAACCCAGTGTAGTCTTGTTATTCTCACATGTTTAACCTCCCCTCGTCTCTCCAGTGAGCTGATTATAATCAGATTAATGCTCAGTGGAGGAGGACTGTATGAATGAGCAGACTTTAACGCCACAGGGTTAGCCAAAGTTTAAGGAGGAAAACTCTTTTGGGTAACTGTTGTTAGAGTTTAGTCCACTTTTTCTACGTCTCTCTCTTCATGTCGACACCAGCGGCAACCCTCAACATGCCCCGGCCTCCTGTGTAAAAGCACTTTGCCATGGTAACAGCTTAAGGAGTGGCTTTGGCAACAATGGTCTCCACAGTTCTTCTGTGGACGGGCTGCTTCAAGTGTCATTGACAGAAGATGATGGATCTCTGACGTTCAGCACTGAAACGTTAGCTGTTCATTAATTAGCAAACTGATCTACAAATCTAATATGATCACACACAAACAGCTGAACATATCATCCCATACAGTTTTGAAGCTGTACAAACACTGACGTACTGTAATGTAACTGATTTAGGATGTAGCTGGAGTGCAGTCCAGTACACAATACCAGAGGTGGAGAGTACTACATTTACTTAAGTACTCTACTTAAGTACAATTTTGGCATACTTTACTGAAGCATTTTCAAATTAAAGTCCACTTCCACCCTGTAGCCTAAACCGTGTAAAGAGGGAAACGCCATCCATGGAAACTGTTGTAAAGACACTTTGGAACGCAGAGCAACAAAGAAATTTCTAAAACCTTCACCAATATATGGAACAGAACTTCACTGAGCTTAATATGAAACCAAACATTTAGGTATTTAGGCATACCGAGCACCAGTAACTCCAGCTGGGCCTCATTCTTCCCCTCCAGATCATCAGCAATGACGACTTTACAGAAGTACACTCCACTGTCTCCCCACTGCAGCTCCCCGATACGCAGGTCTGCTTCTGCACAGAGACCAAGAAGAGAGAGGTGAGGTCATGTTCACAAAGCAGGTCAGTGTTTAATCGCTGTATTTGTGAATCACAATGGATTGACGTTGACAACAAACTGACTATGATGACATTGTGAAACAGCTTTTGGGTGCAGACCACATTGACACCTTTGTAGTGATGTATGACTACTAGCGCTTCTACGATACCTACGTTTTAGTATCTGTACCAAAACTACTATTTAAGAAGTATTAACATGTTTTTCTACTAAACTCTTTTCATCGTTTGACAAAAGAGATTAATTCATCATGTCGGTGAACCTTTATCTTATTTACTGTATCAAATGACGACAGGAGGGCATTGTTGAATGTTGGTGTGTCCCATTGATGCATCTGGATAGCAGACGGGTGTTTTGTCTTGATAAGGCCTGAGGTTTTACAAGGAGTCATACATGAATAGGAGTGAGAGCAGGAGGTCATGATCGTGTGTGTGTGTGTACTCTATTGTGAGACAAAGACAAAAGAGGTTTATTTAAAGAACAGGAAACACAACTAACTCTGAGTAGCTCTGAGTCCTGAGAGCAGTCATCAAACAGTTGCAGCAACTCTTTTTCCTAAATTCATAACTTTAAGATAAGAATGATGACATTACTGTTGACGATGGCGATGTCTCTTCCTTTGTAGTGCTCAGCCAGCGTCATGGAGGCTCCCTGTGCCGAGGCCACAACCCGAACCGTGCGGCTGCTGTCGGAGCACTCCAGGTGGGACGCGGCGCCCAGCTCGGAGGCCTGGACGCCCAGACTCTCGGGCAGGGTGAAGGACTCTCGTGTGCGGTCTCGGCAGTAGGACTTGTACCACCACTGCACCACCGGGTTCTGAGTGGAGGCCGTTTGGTACTGGCACGGGAGGACCACGGACTGGAAGAGCATCGCAAACCGCTGCTTCTCCCGCACTGTGACATGCACGCCATCGCACACACACACTGACAAGAGAAGAGAGGAAGGACATGCAAATAAGTTCTGTGGTTGAGACAAATAGGTCTATATATAGAGCTTCTGTCTCCCGGAGACGTGATTTGACTATTCAGAGAGTCGTGCAAATATTGTTCAAAGATTTTAAAATTGAGAAATACCAGGTTCTCCTATTTGATCCACAGTAATCAACACCAGGCACCTTCACAGAGTTATTCACTCATTTTATAACCCGGAGAGGAGTTTCTTCTCCAGCATGACTATTAGAGGGAAACTATCAACTTCCAATTATATCTAAATTATGAATTTGATAAAGCAATTGATTGTATGGACAGAAAATAGTGGAAAACATTTATAGAAAATAGAATTTCCTTTAGATCCAAGGTGACATCATCCCATTGCAATTTATGGCCAACCAACAGTTGAAAACAATGACAGAAAAGGTAAAGAAACAAATCCTTAAATTGGAGAAGCTGGAACTATGTTTGGCATTTGTGCTTGATAAACTACTTAAATGAATAAGGTTCATGATTTGCACACAACAACTGCAATAAATCATAAAGGTTGTGAGGTCCTACTTTTGTTGAAACTGGTTTTAAGAGGTTTTGATTAAACTAGGGTGTTATTAAGAGCAGATTCTAGTAAGTTAATAGTTAATTCTTAATTAATCAATTAATGGTCTATAAAAGGTCAGAAAATAGAGAAAAATGCTTAGTATCATTGGAGTGTAAAGGTGTCCAACAAACAGTTCAAAACCTAAAGACATTCAGTTTACTATCAAATAAGACCAAGAATAGCAGCACTACTTTTTTTGGGGGCATTTTTGCTTTAAATTTAAATAGTTGTGGACATTTTTCCTGTTGATCTCCTTATACATTAATCAACTAATTGTTTCAGCTCTATAGTCGTATTTAGTCTACCCTCATTGATATAAATGAGGTGGCCAAATCGTTGCAGGACTGCTGTATTAAACTACATTTGAGAGTAGACCAAAACAAGTATAAAGACAGGAAGAGGATGCAGATGGCATCCTGACGTTACAGGAGAAACAGCTGTGCCTCTTCTTTGTCTGTGCGGGTGATTCACTGCACCTGGGAGATATTTAGCTACATATTAAAACGGGAGCAAAGACAGGAACAGAGATTAGGCTCTGCTGCTCGGTACCAGGGTCAGGAAGGTTAAATTCCAGTGTGTGTGGGGGGCTGTGGAGGCCTTTGGAGAGGCAGGGGGTTGTCACCACAGAGGGAGGGGATGGAGAGGTCGGACACTCGTGGGGGCTTTCTGCAAGTCATATTAGCTCTAGGTGGGGCAGGAACTCCCTCTAAACATTTCCCAGAAAGACAGGAAATCAAAACAAAACAAATCCACCAGCCTGACTCTCCTTAGGTCTGTGTTCATCGCTTTTCCTAGTTTCATTCTAACATGAACCCAAGGCTGCTTCTATCCAGGCCACCATTAGGACTGCAACTAAGAGTTATTTTCAATTAATTTCAATTAATCATCTTTAGTCTTTGAAATTGTGGGGAAAATGCCCAATGTCACGTCTTCAGATGTCGTGTTTAGTTGTCTGATTAACGGTCCAAATCTCAAAGACTTTCAGTTTACAATAATGGTTGTCATTTCTGCTTGAAAAATGACTGAAAACTAATTAACTAAGTTTATAAAAAAAATGTTGACAATTCTTATTATTATATCGGATCAGCTCACGTTTCAAACTAGTATGCTAACGTTTCATGACCTAAAACTTAAGTAAATCAGGCGACTTTAATGATAAACTGAGTCTGGTCAGATGAGCATCTTCAGGTTTTCTTTCCCCTGATGAGAAACTAAACATTATCTGCATATTTCCAAGTACAGCGTTGGAGCCAGATGATATTATACAGGATAAGAGAACAAGAGGAAGGGTGACCAAGCTCCTAAGTTCCTCCCACGAGAGAGCTCTGGTCTTCCCTTTGTTTCCTTTTTTTCATGGACCGGTCCATTGTGAGGGCTAAGCCGCCCCCTCCTCTCTGTCCCACTTGAGGAGATGAGAGGGGGAGGAGGTCACAGGCTCCCAGCCAATAAGAGCATCTGGCCTCCTCCAGCTGGGTGTGAACAGACCAATTAACTGCTAGAGATTTGAACCAAACCGTTACTCCATGAATGGCCTCAGTCTGAGGTGAGAGGATGTTCTGCAAATGGTTGTTTATCATCAGGTGTGACTCACTGTAAGTTAATGAACGGGTTACAGAGACTGCAGACAGTCTCCTCCTCCACGTATGCAAACTAAAGGCATCATTTCAACATTAGACCTATCTTTAAAACAGTGCATTGTCACAAAAGCACTCCAGGTCAGAGCTCAGGTCAGTTTCCTGAACACGGTTTCCTCTCCAGAGCTGTCACATTTCCTGCTTTTACTGCGACGTACATTCCTTCACGTTGACTCATTAGACCCAACAAAGAAACACCAATAAGACTGAATACAGTCTCCATGTTTGATTAAGGATTTCAAAGCAATTTCACAGCAACAATCATAAAGTTTGTGGTAAGTGAAGTGAGTATATTTGGTGCTATGCACACAGATTCACAGGTACATGTCTAGCCCTCTTGAGACCTTATGTGCACTTTATGGTCCCTAAATAAAGTTGTATTGGTAAAGGAATATAGTATGGGGCTGCAACTAATGTCTTTTTTCATTTTGATGTATCTGTCAATCATCACTCTTGATTAATTGATTACATGATTACAATTATCTATAACATGTCAGAAAACAGTGACAAATGCCTGTTATACTTCCCCACACCCCAAGTTGTTCGGGGTGCTTGTTTTATTTGATCAACAGAAAAAACACATAAACACATAACATTCATAAATAACAAAGGCAAACATCAAATCATCATATTTGAGAACATGAGACCAGGGAATGTTTGACCTTTTTGGCTTGTAAATTAAAGCGACGAATCAATTATCATAATAGTTTCAAATTAATGTTCCGTTTATCGATTTATCGAGTAATCGTTGCAGCTCTATCTTGGTATCTTGCACCTTTAAAGTACAGCTCTCCCTCTAAATGTACAATCATGCCTTAATATAGTAAACTATGGTGGTGTTCAACACAGATAAGCCTGTAACAGCATAACTATAAGCCCCTATAGCCCCAGTGGATATTATTAACATATCTGTGTAGGTCTATACTACCATGTAAAATCAATACCAGACACTATTAATCCCTTGATTATTAGGGGCGTCACATAAACCACCTAACTTGTTACTAAATCGTTAAAACACGATTCAAAACATCTGTAAAATGACGCATTCAATATGATAAAAAAACAAGATAAAGGTTAAACCATAAAATAAACACTTTACTGTGTCTCGTGCTCAACAGTGCCTGCTCGCCGTTAGCGATACGTTTACCGGATCGACAACCTGTTGCGCTGTCGTCGTAAAGATGATACATTTAAGTGAAGGGAACGAGACTTACCTGATGCGCACAGTAAAAAAGCCAGCCGGTAAAAGTTCATTTTACAGTCCGTTTTATGGTAAAGTGCAGTTAATCCGCATGATGGTCATTCTGGTTGTCCGCTCACTGCAGCGGTAAACAGGACTCACAGACTGCGACTAACGGGACTGTACCAATTCATAGGTGAGTCCAAACACAGCACTGATTCGATAAAGGCCTGGAACTCCGGTGCAACAATGTAAATACAACACAAGATTTTGTAGAGTTGTTTCTTTAGTTTTCATATGTGTGGAGTCTAATTTAGATTTTCCGCAGCGGGTGTAGTGGCAGGCCTCCCGGGAAGAGTCGGGAGGTTTTCCCGGTGGGGAGGTGGAGGAGAGGGGGGGGGGGGCAGCTCCTGAATCAGTCACACTTGGCTGTGAGTTTTGAGGAATTTCACTGCACAGAAACGGCAAGATTTGACCCACTTTTCTTTTTTTGAACTCGATTAGTTTTTCTTCATTTACAAAAATGCAATTTGACATTAGGGGGAATCATTTATCACACAAAAACATTTAGAAAAAGTTACACACAGACATCAAACAGTAAAAAAACTAACCTACACCAAGACACGTTAAAAATAAGTATTAAAATAGGTGTAAATCTAGCACAGATGCAGCTGAGGCACTTTGCTATTCTCGATCACAAACTACAGGTTAAACCTAAAATCAAAGATAATGTACACATTTTATATGGTTGACTGAAAAAGGAACAATCCCTTTTGCCTGAAACAATGTTTTAACAACAAGCCCCAAATTACTGCAGTAGATATTTGGCCTGAATATGTGAGCTATACGTATGTATTAATGATTGGATGGTGTTCAATGACCAATTCACATCAATTGAGATAGGCACTGGACACATTTTTATGGAAAAAAACCAAACAATATCAACACTACAAAGAGTATGATGACACTATTAGTATACATTATAATTAAAGACCCTCGGTATCCATACTGAGACCTCTGGGCATATTAACCCTCTCTGACATTGGCCTATTGATTGAGGTCCTGATTAGCTAGAGCACAAAGATTTATCATACGTCTAAAGTTGTGTTCTGAATAGTCTCACAGGTGTAAAAACTGTTTATCATCATCATCTCAAACATACTTAAAGTTGAGCCACCTTGGGAATTCCAGGTAACCAACCACACTAATACTCACTAGCCTACGTTACCAGTTTACTCACACTGGTGAAACGAACAGGTCAGGCTAAATTAAATGTTAGCACACTGTGACAGGTGTGGCAGGGTCAGAAGTTACCAGGTTGATTTGGTTGAATAATTTTTTGTGTGTCTCAACTCCTTTTAAAAGTCAGACCAGGATTAATTACAGCAAAACTTTAGACAAAAAGTAAATTCTGTTGAATCACCGTGATTAGTGGTCCAGTTAGTTGGCAACTAGCTGTGCAAGACAGTAGTACCAATGTCACTAAGCTTCAAGCACCACCCAACTGAATATTCTTAAATAGTGGTCTTTATTTACTTCAGTAGAAGACAGAATGCGGCTTTTATGTGGGACCGGCTGATATCAGAGACACATCTAATTTAGACCGTTCCCCTGGCTATTATTTGAGTACTGGCTTTTTACATGACAATTCATAGTGTTTGCGAGGATGTGCAAATTAATTTAGCTGCGTCTCTTTATGACATGACCTGGCCCTAAAAGCCCTTTCAGACACAATGCGACAATGGCACCACTGAGCTCTGAAACCCATATTTCCAATAATAATAACTTTAATAACCACAATAGGTGCGCCACAATAGCTCTTTGCTGCGTTGAGCAAAGTGCATGCCAGCCAGGTATGGAAGGTAAAATAGAGGAAAAACTCCTCTTGTGTGCGTCTGAATTTCCTGAACTGTCCAACACCAGTTTGCGCTAGTATCAAGACCTCGGGATCAAAGCTCTGTCTTGGAAACATGTTTCCTACCAACTAGGCATAGCAGGTGTGCTAGCAGTTAGCGCTTGCTTCTTAGCAAGTGACAGTTACATCTTCATTGCTGGCAACAGCTAATCATGTTGCACGCTTAAAGGTTTGAAAACTCCACCTATTTTATTCTGTCGTCTGCGACTTCCCCGAACACCTAGTCTGAAGTGTGCTGAACCAAGCGGTGTGTGGAGCTCAAATCGCATCGTGTCTGAGGGCTTTTAGGTCAATCTCTAAACCCAGTAAATATATTTTTAGTGCATCAAACAAAAAAGAAAAAGAAACTTTTAGGGCATGTAGACATTCAGTAACACAAGGTTATTAATACCGGTTTCTGTTTTGATCGTCGATGTAATCGAGGCGATCGCGGCTTCCGCGGTCACGCCGCTCGTCGAGGCGATCACGACTACCACGGTGAGCATCGCGTTGATCGTCAAGGCGATCATGACTACCACGGTGAGGATCGCGTTGATCGTCAAGGCGATCATGACTACCTCGGTAAGCATCATGTTGATCATCAAGGCGATCACGACTACCTCGGTAAGCATCACGTTGATCATCAAGGCGATCACGACTACCTCGGTAAGTATCGCGTTTTTCATCAAGACGATCCCGACTGCCACCGTAACGATCACGTTCATCATCGAGGTTATCGCGACTTCCACGGTGGTGATCGTGCTGGCTGTCCTGGTAACGCCGAGAGGCTACATCACTGCCCTTGCCATCATTCTTTTCTTTACCACTATTGTAACTGTGTTGATCGTCCTCCAACTTACTACTAACGATGTAGTTGTTTCGAGGAACAACGTCCTTGTCTTCATGCTGGTCGACCGGCTTTGTCTTGCTGTTTGACTTGTCGTCACTGTACTGCTCTCCAGCTTCAGGAGCATCTCTGTCATAAAACGCAGCTTCTTTGGGGACACTAACAGGCAAAATACACAAAACAAAGAAAAAATGGTTAGGTTGGGCTGTTGGATGACCTAAGTAAAGCACCTGTAAACCCCACTTAGATACTAACAATGAATACACTAACATTAGTGTTGTTGGTGGTTTACAGTGGCAGAAACACACAGGATATATCACACATACCCTTCAGCATATTTGTCCTTTTTGCCCTTTTTCTTGCAGTAACAGAAGATTAGGATCCCCAGCAACACCAGACCTGCGAGGACTCCTCCAATTATAGCTGCAGTGGACCCAGCGTTCATGCTGCCTGAGGAGAAAGGAGGAAAGACGAAAGTCATTAACACTTAGCCCAGCACTAAGAATAGCAGGTGAATCATGTTAAAACACTCACCGGCCGTCACAGCTAAAGTAAAGTTGCAACTGTTAGAACCAATCCGATTTGCTGATGTGCAAATGTAGAACCCAGATGTATCTCTGGAAATATTGAAGAGAGATAGAGCTCCATCCTCTGCAAAATAATGACAAAAATTTGGCTAAACAATTCTGAGATCATGGGCCATTCTTTCCATTCACACTAATGAGGGGAACTCATGCGTGCTTCAAAGTAACACATGGATGGTTGAAATGTATACTTTCGGTTGTCTTTGGTGGAAATGGTTTGCGAACGTTTTTGACACTGTAGCCGGTCCATTCATATAGGGGTGTAGGTGATCCCTCCTCAGACATGCAGGTGAGAGTGATGTTGTGCCAGTACGCTGCTTCTCCCTGAATCATGCAGATCGGCTTAGAGGGAGGCACTGGAAGAAAACAAAGAGGTTAACTAAAAGGATACAATCACTTTGCAGAACTTTGCAAGCAGAATTGATCTGACACCTTCATGGAGACAAGATATAAATGCAATTATTCACAATAGACAGATAGATAAATAGAGTTAAAACATGTCAGTGGTTAATTCTTACCCAGGACTAAAAGGGACGTGGTGGCAGATGTTGTTCCCTCATCATCATTGGGGATCATGACACTGCATTGGTAACTGCGGTTGTCCTGCATGTTCACCTTTGTTAAGCGCAGTGTGCTCACTTGTCTGTCCACGTCAACCTCCATAAAGGCTCTGCCTTCATAATCAGGTGCAATGTCAATCGGATTGTTTATAAAGTAGGTGGCCACTAAGAGCTAGAGAAATAAACACAAACATATTATACATATAGATATCTGATCACTACAATATAATAATACAATATGGTAATAACTCAGTACTCAATATTCACCAGTATATGATTATATATATTATAATCAATGGGATGCCACATTTCGACACGATATTACATAATGTTTAAGGATCGTATGCTGTACAATATGGGACCCCAAAATGTTCAATATTAAACGAATAAATAAATAAGACATTATGAAATTAAAATATGTAAATTAATTTGTGAAAAAAAGATTTAAACTGTTATAAAAAGTTCTTTCATTATTCATTTTCAGTCTGTTTTTTTAAATTATGAAGTTTTTTCCAATAACACTTCTATTTCATATCAAGTTTTATTTCAAAATTAGCCAGCTGGGTTGGTAATATGTTAGTTTCTGTGTCTATGTGTCCATTTACAGCAGCAGCCAGATTGTTGATTCAGAATTACTTTATAGTTTATCTGTTCATTCTTCAGGTTCCTCTTCAGTCATCAAAGTCATACATCTTTGATGTATTCTTTTTTATACAATTTATTATCACTATTTATCAAAATACTAAATTATGTGTTTAGTGCAAAGTTCTTCTGAATGAACTGCAGCATAAATTCTAACGTCTAATGTGTGCAGCACTTGGTTATGTGCAAGATGCAATCTTTACTTATTCATAGGACAAAGGTCACAACCGCTAGAAACCTTGGAACTTATCCAGTATCACATTCAGTTAAAGCAGAGCTCCTTATGGAAACTGTGCTTTGCTTCAGCGAATCATTGTCCATTTTAAGAAGGACATTGCCACAATCCTGATATAACTTTAGTCTATGTTACTACAAACTTTAAAAAATCCCTGGTTTAGCAGTTGTCTCAGTGTGGCTGTAGTTTTCTGAGAATGTTAATAGATTGAAATATACACAATAATATCAACATAAAATAAATATGTTACTATTTGGATGTTGTTTATTACAGTTAAGTGGCAATATGCGGATCCTACACTTCCCATAATGCCGCTCAAATGCAGACACTCCCTGTTAAGTAAACACCAACGTCTTTCACACCCCACGCCCCTAGTTTTAGTTTCTGCTGTAATTGTGCCGCCTCAAAGCCCAAGCTGAGATAAATACAAGTAGCACTCCAAAAACGAGTTAACTGATCTTTCAATTTAAAATGAGCAGAGTTCCCTTTTAGTATAGCTCCCCACATAAGGCTGTATTTAGAAGATGTTATAACCACACATTGCGCATGCAGTTATAGTTAAACCTCTCACCATTGGTTCACCAGTATTGTCAGGGTAACCTTCCCATGTGAGGACGAGTGCATTGGTGACCGGTCTGGCTGGGATGAAGGAACAGGTCAAAGTAATATCACCTCCTCTTGCAACCTCATATCCTTTCTCTGGGATAGAAACCTGCAAACTCCTGCAGCAGGGAAGTACTGAAACAAAAGAAACATGTAATGTCGCTTGCCCAGTCGTTGTAGTTTATTTTGTATTTTTGAAAAAAATTGGTAGATACATTATTGATTTAATAAAAACTACTTCCACTACACTTTGTTTGTACTACTAAATATAACATACACCGTGTTTCTCTTGAAGGTAGATTGAATAAATGGTTTGGTCTCTTTTGAGTTCAACACAATCCTGCTTCCAGTTGAGTAGCAAGAAGTTGGATTAATGATTAACAGAGGTGATAATATAATAAAGGTGTGGTAGCGGTTTACAGGAAAAAGAGAAAGAATACACGCATGAAACCTACCTGTGACAATCAGAAATAGCTTTCGCCATCCAAACTGCCTCTTTGTGGTCATTGCTGAACGAGGATAGAAATGTTCAGCAGGTAGAAAATCTGAGATTGATGGTCTCAGTCCAAGAGCAAGAGTCCGCCCAACCTTCACGGTGAACTTCCAGGTATGGAGAAGTGAACATTTCCAGCTAATAAGTCAACGGCTATAGGTCACATGTCACCAGAGGACCAATCATTGACCTGCTATACCCATGATCATACTTGCCTATTACAGATGTATTTAAAATGGAGGGGGCTAGAAAACAAAAAATACTTAAATTATAAAATATAATTTACAGAGACAAAAAAAGATAGACTATAACTGATCCCTGATACAGCATACACAGACAGACATGTAGACATGTGGATGGACAGGTGGATAGATGGCTGCAAATCAGTCAATGTAAAACTAATGTCAACAACAGTGTACACAGAAAATAATATAGTCTATCTGAAATAAATTATTTAACTGATCACAGTTAGTAACCAAGTTGCTCCACATTTTAATGGATTTTGACCTTCCCAGAAAGTTACAATGTGTCTCCGCACCTGCTGTTGTACTCAGTTTGACCTGCAGGCTGCAGTATTGCACTGACAGTGATGCTGCGTGAGTTCAATACAAAAACGGTTATCGCTGACCTATAAATGTATCAAGGCACAAACACTAATAAAAGAACATGAATGTAATTGAAAAGATAATGCCCTTTGACCTTGTTGCTTTAACTTGCTGTGGTCTGATCATGTTTTACTTTTGTAGTTGGTATAGTTTAATCAAGAGTTTCCCAACCTAAGGGTTTGGCCCCCTCCAAAGGGTCACAAGATACATCTGACGGGGGTCGTGAGATAATCAATGGGGTAGGAAAAAAGACAAAACAAAGTTCATGTTCTTTTAAAATATATATATATAATATAATAATATTTGGAGACCCAACTAAACACTGTTTTTGTCAGAGGTCACAGGGCAAAAAGAATGAGATTCAATGTTTAATCTTCATCAATGGGTTGTAGTTTATCAGCTATTTTAATTGTAAAATCTTAATCTTAAAGTAGGCCATCTAGTAGCTGTCTGATAAATATAGTGGATTAGCAAGTAAAATATTTCTCTCTTACTTGAAGTAGGGTACAAGTATAAGAGTAGCATACAATTTAAATAGTACGGTGACGTAACTAGATAAATGTACTTGTTACTTTCCGCCACTGTTTTAAATCATTCTTTGATTCAATACATATAAGGTGAAGTAATGAATGTTTCTGTGAATTTTGTGAAATGATTTGAATAAAGTATGAACACATTCCCTAAGTCTGCAGTGGGTAAAGGATGTAATTGGCTGTAATATATATATATATATATATATATATATATATATATATATAATGTTTTAATCTATTTTACTGTTCCAGGTGCTTCTTACTTTCCAATCAATTCTGTATGGTATGAAAATGAATTTGCAGACGTTCACAAGCTGAGCACAGCCAGATAAACCTGCTGAGGGACCCGAGGCAAACATTAGCCGCTGTGACCCTATTAACCCCGTGTGTGTTGTGTAGGCACCCTGTTGCCTCTCATCATGCAAGGTGCTCACAGTAGACTACACATAATAACTTCACTACCAAGAAACATACTAATACTCCGATGCTAGAATACTAATTGGCAACAGGTTTTCCATGTGTTGATTTGTTTTTTCCTGACTTTTGTATTTATGAATATATGCTATGTGAGCACAATTTCAACAGAAAAATAAGGGTATTAAACTAAATTTGGATACAAGGCACCATCACAAGACAGGGCTACATCATTAAGTAGGACTATTAATTGATTTAGAACATTTATGGTGCAAATTTGCTATTAATCAAATTACCAAAACCAAGTGGCATGCAGTGGACGTGGGCCTAACCAGTTGGTAATCAAGCCTCATGCTGTTGTGGGTTCAATATGAAAGATCAAGTCTGGACTCATTTTTGTTGTGTTAAACTGTTGTTGCATGGTTGTGTGCAGGTTGGTTTTATAATACTGTATTGCATTACCTTGAAAAAATTACTTTCACAAAAAGTTATTGCAACTTTGATGTTGACTGAGATGTGTGCACAACTTATTAAAACATGAAACACACATGCAGTTATAAAGGTTATACAAACGCTGTTTATACTGTTTGGTTTATAACACACTGTAGTGGTTTATAACACACTACAATGTAGTTGTAAGCAGATGCGAGTACATAGAATTATAAGTATTATTATTATTAAATTATAAAATGTATTTATGTTTTCATAACAACTGATGTATTTAAGCAGCAAATAAATGACTGATAACACAGTAAAACAGCTGTAATGCCAGAACAAATCCTTATAGTCTCATAAAACATTTACTATTTCTGCAGATCATTCAAAGGTAGGTTTAAAATAATTTATAGATACGCTCAAAACACACGTAGAGCTTCAAGATTCATTCTCGACTTCAGAAAACACCTGAATGTGGATGTAATGTAATGGGCTATCTTGGTATAAACAGTGCAGATTAATGAGCAAAATGTAGGAAGTGGCTGGGATAAAAGAAAACGTGTCCCCACTTCTCATCCCTTCATATTAGAGAAGTGAAATTTCCTTTCTCTGGTTAAGGCGAGGTCAACCGACAATTTGTCTCTTTTGTGGTTTTATTCTTTTTGCAGGATGGATGTAAAATTATATTAATTGATTTCTGTACTTATTTGAGAATGTGCAACTACGCAGCAAGCATATTTTTTCCTTAGTATATAGGCTAAATAGAAGTACCTAAGATTACAAATTTCAACTAAACAACATAAAAAAGAAAAACACAACTTTCATCAGCCAACAGCAATTATTCCACAAAGCTTCATGCTTTGTTTAAAAAACTTTACGTCTTTAAATATAATCAAAATGTCTGTCCAACAACAAGCAAAATGTCGCAACACCTAGATTTATTGCCAAAAGTAAAACTCCTGTCAGTGTTACACATCTGGAGTAATAATACTGCATTCTTTTTTTGGGTACAATTAGCTCATAACTGCTTTGTTATTGATGTCTAAATGTCTGTGTCAGAATCACAGATAGAGATAATAGTGATAATGACACATAACCTAAAGATTGAGGGTTATTGTTGTGCAGAAACACAGTTTTAGATGTTTGTTCCGTCTGTGTAAATACATTTGACTTTAAATGACTACAAGTCTCTGAGTAGGGAGTACTCTGTATCAGAGGTTGTAGTATGTTGTAGTTTGTATTACTCGGTTATATTGTCAAAGACCAGAACAGCGTACCTGTGCGCTGGCTTTGATCTTTCTAGGTCTTTGGGATCCACTCAAGCCCCTTTCAGTCTAAATCCACAGTGTAAGAATAGTTAGCTGATTATTTAAGTGTGTAAAATAAAGCCACAGTGAACAACAACCCGCACACACTCAACTCAGCGAGTATGCGTGTGTATGTATGCATGTGTGTGGCACTGGTAGGCTCAGGGCTGGGATTTTGGGTTAAATATTCAAAATGGCGGACGGAGGAGCAGCGAGTCAAGATGAGAGTTCAGGACCAGGTAATGATTACAGCATTTTACATATTCATACTCATATTCAAACTGTCTTACTCGCAGATTATGGTAAACGGAGAGCAGATGAGCCGCAGATGGACTCACAGATAAGGATGATATTCTGTTGTTTACACTCCGCTAGCAGCTGCACTTTGACAGAGGAGGAAACGAGCTATTGCGGTTCGATGGCACAAATTACATGGAAACATGCCTCCCCCCTTTGTGTGATTACACGGCCGTACGCCGCTACATATTCATACCTCTGTCGACAAATACAGTTTAGCATATTTTATTAGTAATCGCCGACGTGACTGTGGTTCATATGTGACACATTTAGATATTTCGCTAACGCAATCTGATTGAAATGAGGATGCTAGCCGAGCTAGCGTTAGCTCCGCTGCTAGCGCTGTGGCTTTGTGTTGATGCACAACACTGGAGCGTTTTGGACGAGGTTTGCATATTCATTTCGGAGAGCCGGGGCAGTGGCTGCGCTTGTTTTGTTGTTGTTTTTTTCAAATGCTATTTGGAGGGAATAAAACAAAATGGAGCACACCTGTATTTTTGTTAAATGCACGGTGTCAGCTCGGCGTGCTTCGGCTCGACCTGCTTTTTTTTTTTTTTTTTTTTCTTTTTCTTTTTTTTTAAAACAGCAGAGCGTTTTTCCCCTCAGCCTTTTGTGCTCGGTGGAGCCTCAGATACACTGTTGTGTTATTCATGCGGGCCTGTGCGGGGTTCAGCATACCATCGACCCGACCAGGAGCTGGAGCGACACAATACCTGCCTGTCAACACGACATTTGACGTGTATATTGACTCAAGTGTAAAGAAAAAGTGCCCTCGTCTGTTCACACGTTACACGGTTGTTCTCCGACTGGCTAACCGGCTAACTCACCTCCTCTAACTTGGTCCACTCGTTCAGACGCTAAACTTTACGTTCATTTTAACTGCGCTAAACATACAGACAGGGTTGTGGCTGTTAAAACATATGAAAATAGTGTTGTGTTTCTCTCGTCGCCAGTGTTCAAGTTATAACGTTACTACAGTTTGATTGAAGTTATGTTGAGCACTTTCTTTAACTATAAGTGGGAGTCGTCTGGCGCTGATAGCGAACTGTTAATCCATCTCATTAGAATATTTAATTTATTCCTACAACTTTTAATTGACTGAGCACTTTTTTAAAAACTTGGTTTGAACCCTTAAAGGTCGTCATCGTTGAGTTTTGATGGAGTCTGAATACAAAGATCGTACCTGTGAATCCCCCCGAGGCGCAGGGAGGAGGTAGTGAGGCCCACTTCCGGAAAGACAATAATAACAGGCAGGGCATTCTCCTCACTGTGTGGCTGCATGGCCAGGCAAGACACAGCTTGATGCCTCTCTTTACTCTTCAGTGTGTTGTTTAGTTTATTTAAAAAGAACCAGGGTGTTGTAGTAACTCAACAGATGAGTTTTATAATCTTTTTACTTCACAGTTCAAGTTGCTTTTTACACAAAAGACAATCAAAGAAGTGTCCTTAAAAGTAAATTGATTTTTTTTTAAATCTTTTGCATTGTTTGCCGTAGAGGGCTTATGTTCCTGTGACATACCTGTCTTTGCATGTCAAA